TGTTTGTGATGGGTCCCACTGGTGGGGCAGGATACGCTCATCTTTTCGCGAACACCAGGTATCGACACTATGCTTATGATACTGTCGTCATCGTACAACGGAATCTGCTTTTATTAGATATTTCTTATGATTATGAAAATATTTTTATCGCATATAACTTGTTTAGGTAAAATAATACAAGCGTTGGTGATTTTTATAACAAATGATATGATATTTATTGTTTTAATCTTATATTGGCAAATGTAACAGTGATGACCATCTAAATGTTTCACCCTTTATAGACTTTTTCCGCAATTTGCCCTTGAGATTTAACCGTGTTGAAGTACAGTGTCGTTTTATACGATGCCTTCTGGTAACTGTGCTTCGCTTGGATCTTGAAATATTATGATCTCATAAAATAGAGCTGGTGCTCATTTTGAGATGTAAATGATCTGATAAAACGAGTGGTTGAATGCGTGGGTTGAGATGCGATTTCAAGAGTAATGAGGCATTTGTGATAAGATCCTGAATGAGGATAAATGAGAATCGGTTGTATATGTCAGCAAATGCCCCTCATGTAACACCGTTCCAGACAGCAATTGGCGTCCAAGGCACCAAAAAGAATGTTAGGGTGTTTACACGACAGAACCTAGTGGATTAATATATTTAATAAATTGATATTATTATATACAGATTAAAATAAATGTTTGGGTGATCCTGGCACAGTCAGGCTGGTTAGGTTCATCATCAGCTCAGGGCCCATGCAAATTCTTGGTCGTACCATGGATGGACCTCCGTGTCAATACTACGAGTATGGCGTGGTAATAAAAGCATCGAGTCACGATATTATGTCGCTTAAGATACTGTGTTTGTGCAAAGGTGGGCATCCACTGACAATGCGTATACTGCTACGTGTCTATTCCCAAATTGAAACAATAGGTTAACCCAGAAATTTGTACGTAAAAGAATTTAGTGCGAAACCAACGAACAACCAACAATTGTATCAAACAAATAACTTGGTACAAATGAATACAAATTACTCGACAGCAATTACAATGGCAGTATCAAATGCAATATTTGATGGCAGTGGTTTTAGTACAAAGTTCAGTGATAATATTATTCACCTATCCGAGTTAGGCCTAAGCCGAACATCAGGGTGAAAAGTGATCTTCACACGAAAGCTGGTCTTGATGTAATATCAGATGAAATGTGAGGCGAGGCAGATACGCAAACGCTCCACTTATATAGTCTTAGTAGCTTCCATTACTTTCCAAACAGTGCTAGGCCAGTCCAGTGTCTCTAGACCATCACAGAATATAACACGTTTCTATTACGCTTGACATCCACCCATGCTATTCAGGAAGTTAACACATAATACGAACATCTAAATATAATAACTTCCTCACCACTGCTTACAATTAATAGTACTACATTCTTGACAACTAATCATTGTCCAAATCCAATGCTATGAACTTCTACTGAATTTCAATGTTATATAGTCACAATAATTGTTCAACAATAAATTACACTGACATATAAAAATACTATTATCATTTTCAATAGCTCTTCTGACATATGTTCAAAATCCTCATTTATTTCACGGTTAGTTTGAGCAAGCAAATCTTGAAAACGTGTAATCCAGTCAACTGGTGGTATTTGACTTGACTTTGATATATTGTTGAAATTCTTTAATTTCTTCCACACCCAGTCACCGTGTTGTTTATACGTATAGCCTTCTTTTAACACACGTTGATATTTATCTATATAACCTTTCAAAGAAATCGTATGGGTCGTGAAATGGCTTTCTAGATCATGATTGATAAATCTTATTATCTGCTATCGGACACTTGGTGTCATTTCTTGGGACCCCAAAGAAATTCATATTCACGTGTTTCGACACACAGATTGCTGTCCCCAAACCTGTGTGGGTCTTACGTAGCGTTCTCTCGTCAAATCGAAGGCCAGGTTCGATTTCTCGCATGTGTACAATGCAATTTCTGGTGTCCTCCGCCGGGATATTTCTGGAATACAGTAAAGTACGGTTATAACGAACTCAAAGGGACTACTAAGTTTAGTTCGTTATAACCGTAGTTCGTTATAAGGATATATACAGCATAACTACAGCAAATAGTCGGGACCAAAAAGGAAGTTCGTTATATCCGTCAGTTCGTTATAAGCGTGTTCGTTATAACCGTAGTTTACTGTATTGCTAAAAGCAGCGTAAAAACCATACTCACTCCAACACGCTAACGAGCCAGTTATGTAGTCCAGTTATATTACCCAACCATTGAAAAAATGCTATGACTAAACATATATGAGTGTATGAAACATTGACCAAATCTGAACCACTCACTCAAAATAAAATTTGATTCCAGTTACTTTAGACGCTGCCTTTGAGTTTCCGTAATACGGATCAAAAACAGCATTCTACCCTGACTTGGAAAATACTCTAATTTGATGGATCAATCAGAGGTTTCAAATCAAAGGTGACATGACGACCTCCAAATGTAATATTAATAGAAATGGGTTTCTTTCCCAATCATTGTCGTTGGGCAAATATTAATATGTATAAATGCCCAAAGGTACACGTGCGCAAATACTGTCATTGAAATATGTGGGGGCACCAGAAACCTATGATTGTGGGTTCGAATCCTGGTTCGCCCCGATTATGTTTCTAGGTTTGTCAGCACCATACCCGTGCCCGTGGGTTTCACCGAAGTGATAAACGTCTGAGACCTGCATCACTTCGGGCTTTCCTCCTACATTAAGCAGACAGGCCGTGATATAACTGGAATACTGTTAAAAGCGGCGTCAAACCCAACTCACTCACTCACTCATTGAAATATGTAGAATTGTAGGAATAAACATATAGGGATGCTGATACTATTATATTTTGGGGGACAACAGAGCGTTAGACATATGACGTTTCTCTAATTACGACTGTGACGTCATGTTTTTTGCGTCATAATGAGCCTTTGTAAGGATTGTTTCATTTTTTAGGATGACCAATTAATGTTTGCAAAGAAAAAAGCTCCACTTCTCAACCAAGCGTCGTCACTAATGAGTGAGTGGTCGGGTTTAACGCCGTTTTGAACTCTGTTGTAGTTATATCACAGGGTACCAGCTTCATGTTGGAGGAAAGCCCGAAATGATGGTCTTCAATCAATCATTTTTTAAAGTACGTTTGGGCCTCAGGGTTTTGTGTACGAACAATATGGTACAGGCGGGATTACACTTAATCGTACATTTCTTCCCATATGTGCATAGTACAAATATTGTGCTAGATTTGTAATGATGTTAGAGTTTGGCGATGACGTCAAAATATTGAATTGATGGATGTTAGGATGAAGATAAAACTTTTTGTTACCGGTATTTTTGTCTTAACGTACGTTAAGATCCAGGTCTTACTGGTTTACCGTTATGTTGGAACCAATGAGCATGGGTACTGAACTGACGAACCCAGAAACATAATCAGGGCGAACCTGGGCCTAGATTTTCGAAACGATCTTAGCTAAGACAAATCTTAACAACTTACGTTCAAATATAAGATATCTTAAGGCTAAGATAAGATAGATTTTCGAAACTATCGTAAACCTGTCGCAGATCGTTCAGAGTTACGATACCTGTCGTAACTCTGACAGAGAACTCATTTGTGTTAGAGATTGAAAAAGCGGGGTGTTTCCCAGTGACGTCACGGGGATTTCCCAGCTGCATATGCGTTCAGCATTTAACATGCGTGTTCAAGTCTGATGTTAAGTGATGTATACTGTATATTTTTATGTTTATGTCAAAAGTCAAGTTTATATTAGTTTACAAAATGAAATGTCAATGTTTGAACGTAAAGCGGACTAGTTGTTTGGCACAATATCTATGGAAAAGTATGCCGCCATCTTGGATGAAGATAAAATAAACTTACGACAGGTATAGGGCTATCTTAGATTTACGACAAACTTAAGATATCTTAGGGCTACGATAGTTTCGAAAATATGCTACGATAGCCTACGATTTCTTTACGACAAATTTACGATAATTTTAGGGCTACGATCGTTTCGAAAATCTAGGCCCTGAATTTTAAAACCACGATCATAGGCTACTGGTACGACCAATGGAAGCAGCGCTGCACCGCGAAAAGCGGTGCTTGAGCCGAGCGCAGTTCAATACCTTGTTTGTTTGTTGTTTAATGCCGCACTCACCAATATTCCAGCTATATGACGGCGGTTTGTAAATAATCGAGTCTGGACCAGAAAATCCAGTGATTGACACCATGAGCATCGATCCACGCAATTGGGATACGATGACAAGAATGAACCAAATCAGCGAGCCTGACCACCCGATCCCGTCAGTCACCTCTTACGACAAGAATAGTCGCCTTTTAGGGCAAGCACAGGTTACTGAAGACCTATCCTGACCCCGATCTTCACGAGTCGTGGTCCCCATCAGGATAGCTTGGCATTAAGGGGATAAAACACTGACTTGTCACCTTTTAAGGCAAGCATGGGATAAAACACAGACTTGTCACCTATTAAGGCAAGCATGGGTTACTGAAGACCTATTGTACCTGGATCTTCACGGGTTGCTCAATATCTACTGAAAATGCTGTCAACTTTCAAATTTACAGATTTCTTCTAATAATACATGAATAAATTATATTTAAGACAGTTGGTGACTGCGGCGAAAGATCAGTTGAAGGGAAGTCTGATTGAATTACCAGTATGTTTATCTATTCTTCCATATAACATACCCTTTTATATTTTGTTTTGCAATAATGTCTTTATATAAAGATACAACTTTGCAAAATTTCGCATGGAATAATTTCACTATAAATTCGTCTGTTCTCAGGAATGAACGGGTTCATTTATTGCCCTTGAACTATTAGCTAGTGACCTACAGCCTCAGGATACCCTCATACCTTTTTGAATTCACACCCCGAAACACGTGATTTCTCTGAAATACGCACCGAATGATCCAACAGTCAGCGATTGGTCTTTACACGCATATATATGTTTCAAGGAGAAAATCTATGCGTTATTCCGATCCGAGCAGAAGGCGTGTGAGGTTAAGTATTTTCTCCTTCTGGTTTGTTTGTTTGTTGTTTAACGCCGCACTCAGTAATATTCCAGCTATATGACGGCAGTCTGTAAATAATCGAGTTTGGACCAGACACTCCAGTAAATGACATCATGAGCATCGATCCACGCAACTGGGATATGATGGCATGCACCAACCAAGTCAGCGAGCCCGACCACCCGATCCCGTCAGTCGCCTCATACTTCTCCTTCTACAACTCCTTGCTATCTATATTTTTCTATATTAACTCCTTAAGATCTTTAGGATTAAATAGTAATGATCTTCATCCCTTTTCAAGCGTGAAAATATGGTTGAGAATGATACTCAAATTCAGCCTCTATGGTTTTGAATTACCCTTTGGCATCAAGGGTCAACATGCCAATCTGTTGGAAGGCACACAAAGATATTTGGTACCCATTGTACAGGGTCTTGATAAAAATCTCCTTCAGAGTCCACTGTTGCGAATCCTGGACTTTGGACAATAACGTCATATATTGATAAATGCAAAGTATTATTTCTTGGTCGTTCTTGCTTTCAGACTGAAATAACTTTGCCAAAAAATATATTGTGTGTCCATTGCATCTGTGATGGAATTACACACAAACTTGATAAATACAATTTAGGTACCTACCTTTGTTCATATGTTCAATACGGTACTTTTCCTCCCAAATTGAAATGGAGAAATCTTGTTTATGAAACTTTATGCAAATACGAAGAACACGTATGGCTCACACACGTATCAAATAACACAAGCATGTCCCGTTATAAGAGAATTCATACGAAATTGACATACCATGTACATTGCCAATTAACTTTTCTGTACCCAGAATATCGACCTGCTTTAGAACTTTGTGTGAGAATCTCACCACGAAGTAAACATTTCGAAAGAATGCAAGAATGTAATTGGAATGCATTCGACTATGACAGCACATTATTATACCCCCGACCTTAAAAGGCGGGGTATATAGTTACACCAAGGAATTCTGTCCGTCCTTCCGCAGATATTTTTGTGTGTTACCTATTACTTGACATAGATTCTTTTCAATCTTGGTGTACACTTTTTTTATTCATATGGGAGAGGTGCGGTATGATTTCAATATTTGAATCTTTTGAAATATTCAACTTTTTTTCATTGTTTGTCTTAGAATTTTTACATAAACATTTATGTGACATATAACTTGAAAACTACTGAATGGATTCTTTTCAAATTTAGGGAACACTTAAAATACTGATAGTGGAGGCGCAGTGTATAGTTTGATGTTGATATGTGTATTACCTGAAAAAATGTGATGTTTTTCATGTTGTGAACTATATTTTTTAATGCGACAAATGACTTGAAAACTACTTCATGGATTCTTTTCCAATTTGGGGTACAGTTGAATTAGGAGAGGTGCTGTGCGATGTTTGTGTTCAATATTTGGATGTTCTGAAAAGAATACAGCAATTTGTTTCTTAGAATTGTTTTACTGAAATATTTGTGCGACCTATGACTCGATATCTACTTCATGGAGTCTTTCAAATTTAGGAACAATCTTTTTACTAATAGAAGAGGTTCAGTGCAAGGTTTAATTTTGATATGTGTATTTTCTGAAAAAAGGATGATTTGTTTCATGTTTTGAACGAAGAATATTTTTTTACTTCAATATTTGTGCAACTAATAACTTAAACACAACTTCATGAATTCTATTCCAATTTGGGGTACAGTTTCTGTAACAATAGGAGAGGTGCAGTGCAAAGTTTGATTTCGATAATTGATTTGTCTGAGATAATATTGCTTTTTCAAGTTGTGAACTTTTTTCTCTTAACTCATTGACTTACTTGACGTTAAAAATACGTTGATATTGGAAATGCAAGAAGAAACAGATATGTTATCATTTTTATGTGGAACGTTTACAGAATTTACCCACAATCTGGATCAACACATCTGGGACACTATCATACTACAGTGTGGCATAATATCTGTACAAACAGAAGCATCTTTTGATATATATCCCTTAGTGGATATCTGTCTCCGTATACGTATATGAACTTGATAAGATGTGTTATTGTAAATATGTTATGCCTTTTTGGTTATATATTATTATTGTTATCTTCGGTATGACATCTAGAGGATATAAACAATCTCTCACTCTGTCTCTCTCTGTCTCTCGCTCTCGTTTGCAATTTGTAAGGACTCTATTAGGGATGAGAGTGACGTGGTCGGACGTTGTCCTGCTGAAAAATGTCTCGTTGAGGGTCGCTAACGGGACGCAGGTAGCGTAAATCCGTCAAATTGCCTTGTACGTGCACCAGGTTGGTTCTTTGGGTGCATGATCGCCCACATTATGACACTGACATACCCGAATCTATCCACTTCGACAACTACAGTTTTGAGCAAAACGTTCATTTCTACGTCTGTAGACACGGGTCGAGTGTTACTAGTTCTTGTCTATATTATCTGTTTCATATTGAATAAAGTTCTTTTTAAAGTTCAATAACTAACTTCGCTCATCTCGGACGTAGCGGGGTGGTCGGGTAGCCTAGTGGTTAAAGCGTTCGCTCGTCACGTCGAAGACCCGGGTTCGATTCCCGACATGGGTACAATGTGTGAAGCCCATTTCTGGTGTCCCCCGCCGTGATATTGCTGGAATATTGCTAAAAGCGGCGTAAAACCATACTCACTCACTCACTCACTCGGACGTAGCACTGGGTAGGACACCTTGGTCTTGTTAATGGCTGTTTTTTTTCTTTGGATTTCGATTATCTTGTCTCTGTTGTGTTGATGTTCATTTGGGAGATACGAACAAATCTTGCACATGAACAATCGGATTATGAATTATATATATATACTGACAACATTTGCTCTTTGCATATGTTTTTCTCGTTGAGCACTAAATGGCCAGGCAACCATGACTTTACGGGGACAGACTAGTGAGGAGGGTGAGGTGAAATTGGTTTTAACGTCGCGTCCCAGAATATTGCACTTATTTCGGGATGTGCATGCACGTGTGTGTGTGTGTGGCTGCTTGTACTAGTCCGGAGTGATGCCGATTTATAGTGCTAGCACACTGAGATACCATGCCGCAGTTTAACATGAATACCCCACTTAGGGCAACAACAAGTACAATCTTTAAACGTCTTTTGGTATGACGCGACCGGGAATCGAACCCCGAACCTTCCGCTGTCCGGGCGAACGCTCTACAACGGAGGCGGTCAGAAGTGGTCACAATATTATGTTATATATTATATATAATTTGCTAACTGTTTTGGATGTGGAGGTCAGTCTCTCTGATTGAGGGCCCGCATTTCATATCCGTAAATTACTCGTGTTTCAGTCATTGGCATGCCAGGTGCCGACTGGATTATTACAAAAAGGCGTGATATAGCTGGAATATTGCTTTCTTTTATTTACTCATAAAAACACTTAACGTCCGCTGAGGTGTACATATTTTAAGGATCACCGTATACTGATCTGGCTAATAATGGTTATGCACCCTGAGACACTGTTAGGACGTCGCCCCCAGATGTATAACAGCTCCAACCCTTCAAGGAAGACCGTAATGACGAAGCCATGGGGCGTGTTTGTGCGACTTAATAACCAACAGATCCTCCCAAGCCGACCACTAATCATATAATGGGTAGGTTTCTCGGCAGGATAAAGCCAACCGATAAAAACGATATCCGTTGGGGTCATATGCGGATAGAGATATCAAAGGTCAAGTAGGACTACTTTCACTGTTTGTAAACAAACATGGCGTCGCCCTCGTCATTCGGCGATCGAGTCAGAATTTACCATCGGGAATCTGGATAAACTACAGGGATAATTGCTATCATTATCAAAAGAACAGTCTAATATACTGAGAATCAGTATCTAACTGTGACGTAGCTAAGGCATTTTATAAGTTTTGGCAACTTTGGAGATATAAATTTTGAAACAATTTTGCGAGGGCACGAGGCCTAGCCAAGCGGGATCAGTAGCCATATCTGTGCTTGTAGACCTCTGCGGCTTCAAACCTTCTCCACATATTAAAATAGTTGGATGGGCCGAACTATGTTTGAATTGTGACCTTGTTTCGTTTTGTCGCTGTGTGTACATCTGACTACACTTCTTAACGTAATGACAGGACAGACCGACTGTCAACAACGTCTGACCGTGGCCGTGACGTCTCATAGACTAGGGTTAGAGTAGCTTCCCTTCGACAAAGGGCAGTTACTCTAGCCGACAGACCGATGGATTGCCGCGAAAGGCAATTAAAAACAACTGTTGTTTTGCGTATATGTTGCTTCGCCACTGTATAAGAAACAGATTTCAGTTGGAACTATATTGGCTACTGTCACTGTCCGACTGACACATCACTTACCCTGTGACGTAATAAATATTAATGCGCGCATTCCAGGAAAACTCGCAATGTTTCGGTAATGTTTGTGAGAGAGGGAAAGCGATTTTGAAGCACAGAATTAAAGAATGACATTATATTTTATTCCTAATATTTACCATCCCCAAACACACTCGCGTGATAACCTCTCTCTCTCTCTCTCTCTCTCTCTCTCTCTCTCTCTCTCTCTCTCTCTCTCTCTCTCTCTCTCTCTATATATATATATATATATATATATATATATGCACACTTATTCTATAAATGTTGTCTTATCACTTCATGAAATGGGGTGGGGCACGGGTGGCCCAGTCGTCTAATGCGCCTCAATTCGCTGTGCTGAATTGCGTCCCTTGGGCACGCCAGAAACCTATGATTGTGAGATTGTGGGTTTGAATCCCGGTTCACCTCGATTATGTTTCCGCTCTCCGGGCGGACGCTCTACCACTAGACCACGGAGGTGGTCTACAAACTAGTGGAGCACATTATTACTTCCTGATGTAGAAGTTGACAGCATAACAGTACAGCGCTGGAGGGCAGTCGTGGGATTCTTTACCTACTGGTATATTGTTCATTCAGCATATAACAGATAAAACATAAATACCATTGTAACATAAATCCTATGCCTTTGTTCTTCTTGGTATTGAGGAGTATGCATGTCCTTCGTGGCCTTGTAAGGTATACAATTTCTTAAAATGTTCATGTCAATCAGGTTTGTTTGAAGCAACAACGTCGCCAACTGCAACAGTGATGTATGTACGGAGAGTATGACCAAACCAGCGATGGAGAAATGTTTGATTCAGCGACGAGACGCTGCGCCAAGCTAATTTATGCTTATTGGTTATAAGCTTATGGTTTTCCTGTTTCATAAACAAATTCTCATGAAATAGTCGGAATCTTACAATGTTCTCTGCTTCTAGTATACACTTCTGTTCCGCGGGGCATGACCTTCTTATCCTTTTCGCGAACGCCTGGTGTCATCACTGATTTTCAGTGATCCATTCATATATTTTTCACCGCTATTCTGACTTTTACTCCCAATGGAATCTGTGGTTCCATCAGAAAATCGAGACTATATTTATGATTGTGGAAATGACTTTGTCTCTTTTATTTGTTCGAATGTTTTTTCCTGCTTTTAATGATATTTTCGGTATTATTGATATGTAACCAGATAGTCTAATCTTGAGCTTGAGGCTATTTTTCCGACCATTGACGACATATTGTCATCAACGATAGGTTTTCTGCTTACAGGTTCAGGATTGTCCCAAGACGTTGAGGAAGACTTTAAACAATCATTCAGTCAACAGTCTTTGGGAAACGCGGTGAACATCTCACACAGCAGGGCTATGGAAGGCCTGTATGTTGCTGCCGTAGTCTGTGCTGCACTTGTAGTCTGTGCTGCACAAACTATCGATTTGACTCCTGACGAAACTAGAACACTCCTCGAAAATGTAATAGAAGCTTCCATTAACAAACTCTATGAAGACGAGCAAAGGTTCTTCGATGCAGGTAAGCCAAACTGAGTTATCCCGACATATTTTTCCATGTTAAAAATACAACCAGAAGCATATTTATATTAAAATCGTTTGGGTTACGTGTCTCATTTATAGAAGGGATATGTCACCTTCAAATGGAATTCAACCATGGGGGTTAAAACATCCGAAATATAGTGAGTGAGTGAGTATGGTTTTACGCCGCTTTTAGCAATATTCCAGCAATATCACGGCGGGGGACACCAGAAATGGGCTTCACACATTGTACCCATGTCGGGAATCGAACCCGGGTCTTCGGCGTGAGGAGCCAACGCTTTAACCACTAGGCTACCCGACCGCCCCTCTGAAATATAATTGGTCAATCGAAGGGTTTCAAATTACACTACTAATTCTTCCCTTTTACAAACATTCAGATCAACAATAACATAATTATATTAGGAAACATCACCTTAACTCCTAACAGGAGTGAGGACGGGTAGGTCGTTGAAAGCAATCTAAACAATAGGTGCCTTGGCAAAAAATACATCATAGAAATATCTGCTTTAGGTGTTGACTTCCACGGAGGGAGATCTGCCCTCTACTTTCATTCAGTGATACTTAACACAAAGACTGAATCACTGAGCCTCGGAGCCAGGGAGAGGCAGAGGTTATATGCGCTTAAAACCATCGCTCAACTCACGTAAGTATATATCATTGTGAAACAATGTATATATATATATATGTGTGCGTGCGTGCGTGCATGCATGCGTGTAAAATGCTGTCTCTTAAATCTGCATAGAATGAACATTCTTGTATTCTGATTATTCTATGCAAAATGCACAATCTTTTAAATTTCTGTTAATATTATACTGTCGATCTATTTCTATCATTAAAGTATGACTAAAGCGTCTCCATTTAGCTAAAGCTTTAAAATACATCGTATTGTGAATACAAAAAATATAATCTTCCAAACCATATTCCATTTGTCTATAAAAGTCTAATTTTGATGGAGTTGTGTTATTATCGTTCTACATCTGTACATCAATATCTTAACAGCGTTTTGGTCAATAAATAAATAAATATAGCCAACCCCTTGATGGAGCCAAAAGTCTTACAAAACCATACTTTGGTAACAAGCTTTCAACATCATGAGCAGCCCAGTTTTCCCCCACTTCGGCCTTACTGAACTCGAAGTGGTGCGCATGCTTAAGAATAGTATTTGAAATTTGGTTCAACAATCGCAACCAATAAGTAACTACAGTAAACTACGGTTATAGCGAACTCAAAGGGACTGCTAATTTTAGTTCGTTATAACCGTAGTTCGTTATAAGCATATATACAGCAAATAGTCCGGACCAAAAAAGTAAGTTCGTTATATCTGTCAGTTCGTTATAAGCGTGTTCGTTATAACCGTAGTTTACTGTATTCTCTTATATTGAAAACAACCTTCATAGACACTCTCCCAACCTCCCCTCGCGGGGTTTGGCCTTTAAAACCCAATTCTAATTTACAAAGCCTGTCATTAATTGTATCAACATCTGGGATGGGTGGAAACTCCATACCTCAGAACCATATAAAACAAATTGGCAAGATTTTTAATATAAAAATATATGAAGCTGCAGACTGCAGGACGTTTTTGAAACATAGAAGATTTACATTGCAATATTTGGAATTATTTTCAAGCTTGTTGCGCCAATGTATTTTGGGTTAGGTACCATCAGGCAGATGAGGTGAAATAAACAACCATATATTTTTAGCTAGGTACTACTTCAATATAATTAGTCGGAAAGCAAAATATTTCCTAATATCATAATGGCCATTATTTCTAAAACCATTTATTTTACTTTTATGAGTATCGACCTCAAATTTCCATTTGTTTTAAATAAATAAATAGCAACTTTATCTAAACGCTTTTGGAGGCCAACTGGTGTAACATCAAACATGGCAATATCGCGGACAAACAGAAATATATACAACCCCATTTTGTCCATGGTAGTTCCTCTTTGTCAATCAGAATTTTAAAAGGCTACAACATCACTAATCAAAAGAAAAAGAAAAAGGGGGCATTTGACATCCCTGCCGCAATCCATATTTACATATAGAAAAGACTGTATAGCCAGCATCTATTGAAATACAAGCTATAACTTGTTCGTAATTATTTTTTGTTAATCTATACAGTCTACCTTAAACCCGATCATGCAAAAGTTCATAGACCATTCCTGTAAAAAGAAGTGAATGCAGCCTTTGAATCTATGAATGCACAATAGAAACGACCACGTTTCTGAGATAAGTACTTTTGGATTATATCTTTCAAAACACATATATTATCTGAGGTCTGAAATCCTTTCTGAAAACCCACCTGTTCCTTTATCATGTTATCCTCAATATCAGCCAATAAATGTTAATCTAGAGCAGACAAGTTTTGCAAATATTTGCAAATACCAATAATGTGATAGTCCACAGTTTCCTAGATCACTGGAGCCTCCTTTCTTATAAATAGGCACGATAACACCATACGTTCACTGATCGGGATATACTCCAGTCCGCAGGACAACATTATATAATTTTAATAACATTTCAATACAAAGTGGGGGTATATTTTTGAAAAAAATCAATTGGCAAACCACTATATCCAGGTGAATTTCCAGGTTTCATATCATGGATGGCTTCTAAAAGTTCAGATTCAGTTGTATCAGAATTCAAAAATGAATATTCATCAACAGAATTATTAATTGGTTCATCAGATAATTAATTTACAAAGTAGGCGATAGTTGTGTAGAAATCGATATGGTCAGTCCAGAGCTCCAGATCAGCTTTTGTTGCAGTGGGTATTTTACCCATGTATTTTAAAATCATTGGGTATCAGTAATTCTATCTGGGCATTCAAATTTCTGTTACCCACTAGTTTTTACACATGTGGGTATTTAAGTTAAATATTTAATAACACTATTCATCTAGTCCCTACAAACTGGTGTCGGTTGGGTTCGAGAGCTTTATAAGACTCAAAAATACCACGATTCTTCCACAAGAAAGTGTGATGGCAAATGATCATGATGTAACTGTCATCGTGGAGTTTGGCAAGGTTGACGGAATGCCCGTTTATAATTTCAAAATAAGTTGCTGATTTGCTAATCGAATACGCAGGGTTACTTCACAATATTTTGATGATACGCACAAGTTTTTTTTTTTTTGTAGCGTATCTGTCATGTTCGTTGCGTATTTGATACGCTTGGATTTTATTTTACTGCGTATTTCTGATGCGTATTTTACGCACATACGCAGCTTATCTGGAGCTCTGTAGTCATCAATGTCACCCATGCCTCCAAATAGAGTCTCAAACTTTTAGGTATGTGTGAGTGAGTGAGGTTTTACACCGCTTTTAGCAATGTTTAAAAATATCAACACCAGAAATGAGCTTCACACATTTTACCCATGTAGGGAATCGAACCTAGGAATGTGTGTTATCAACAATGCCTTGAACAAACCTTCAAAACGATCTTGTAATTTGTAAAATGCTGCTTCCAAAGGTACCAAATTGTGTCAACTGATTGCGGAACGCCACATTACAAGTTTCAGGTGGAAGATGTTTGTCACGAACAGGGTACATTGCTTGTATGCCGTAAAAGGCGACTATGCTTGCCGTAAAAGGCGACTATGCTTGTTGCAAGAGGCGACTATGCTTGTCGTAAAAGGCGACTATGCTTGTCGTAAAAGGAAACTATGCTTGTCGTAAAAGGCGACTATGCTTGCCGTAAAAGGCGACTATGCTTGTCGTAGAAGGCGACTATGCTTGCCGTAAAAGACGACTATGCTTGTCGTAAAAGGCGACTATGCTTGCCTTAAAAGGCGACTATGCTTGCCGTAAAAGGCGACTATGCTTGTCGTAAGAGGCGACTATGCTTGTCGTAAAAGGCGACTATGCTTGTCGTAAAAGGCGACTATGCTTGTCGCAAGAGCGACTATGCTTGTCGTAAAAGGCGACTATGCTTGTCGTAAAAGGCGACTATGCTTGCCGTAAAAGGCGACTATGCTTGTCGTAAGAGGCGACTATGCTTGTCGTAAGAGGCGACTATGCTTGTCGTAAAAGGCGACTATGCTCGTCGTAAGAGGCGACTAACGGGATCGGGTGGTCAGGCTCACTGATTTGGTTGATGCATGTCAAACATCCCAATTGCGTGGGTCGATTCTCATGATATCTATCACTGGATTGTCTGGTCCAGACTCGATTATTTACAGACCACCGTCATATAGCTGGAATATTGCTGAGTGCGGCGTTAAACAAAAAACTAACCAACCAACATTGATTTCAAATTAAGGATCATAATCAGTGTAGAATTTCTCCTTTGAACAATCAACAGATGTTGGCTCGAAAAATGGATGTGACTCCGAACTACGATCAGTGGCATCGTTGGACAATTTGCACGTGTATATGAAGTCCCCGTTGTTGTCAAAGTAAGACCTAGGTAGAAATGTTACAAATAAAAGCGACAAAACCATCTCATAAAAAAAAATCTGGAATCTTTGTTAAAAGCTTTTCTTTTCCCCGTAGGGCTGTCTTTGGTGAAGGAAGTCTATCGGAAGTCGCCTCACAAGTGTCTACTGTGCTTTCCGGAAGTAGTTCCCTATTAAAGACCCTTTTCCAAGATGAGGGAATATGTCCAACTGACGAAGTGGTCACCTGTGACCCAAACACTCGTTACCGCAAAGCAGACGGAAGCTGCAACAACCTCCGCAGCCCCCGATGGGGGAAGTCCTTCATCCCTTCCAGGAGATTTATGCCCCCTGAATACGACGACGGTACGAGTGAGTGAGTATGGTTTTACGCCGCTTTTAGCAATATTCCAGCAATATCACGGCGGGGGACACCAGAAATGGGCTTCACACATTGTACCCATGTCGGGAATCGAACCCGGGTCTTCGGCGTGACGAGCGAACGCTTTAACTACTAGGCTACCCGACCGCCCATACGACGGTACGAAAATAAAGTATATGCATTAATCAAAAGGAACAAAAGAAACCATTCCTCTCATTTCGTTTCATAATATGTGTGATTTTCAATTGAAAATATCTTAAATTCATCCAAAGATAAACTTTGCTGGCGCTTAGTCAGCACTCAAAGAATATGTGGTTTCATTTTTAAAGAAAATAATTTGATTTAAAAATTTAAGAAATTAATGAGAAACAATTCGCTCAGTACACAACTGCTTTAGGGGTCATGGGGCTGCCAAATCATTTCTTACTCCAGTCTTCTTCAAACCTATTTGTTATCCAGGCACAAATAACTTGTTTACAAACTGTTACGCATCTTCCCGAGGCAAGGGAGTTAACTGACTATAAAAGTCCAGTTTCCACCCTTGCCGAACAAGGCTGGAATTGTTTGGCTCGATCGTAGCAGTACATGTGGCTATTACCAGTTATGTCCCTTCCATGCCTCTCCTATGGACCAATCAGATTCCACCTCTTGTATCACTTGCATTTGCTTCAAACAAAATGGCGGCGCCCTGTCAAAACGATCTGATCGATAATCAAGATCTATACTGTGAAAAAACGTGTCTTACATCGCTAAGTGCATCAAATGAAGAACGTGAGAACCTTGAACTAAAAACATGAAAAGATTTAGAAAATTTCTGTTGACAACGAGACCGAAATCTGTTCGAGGTGCACATGCTTTGCAAATCCTGCAATCGACCGAAATCTGCATGACTTTTTACGAACCGGATTTCGATTTCGTTGCGCGATTTTGATTGGGCTATGCATAGACACGTTAGTCCAGCCAAAATGTAACTCCATAATACCAGCCTAGTTCGGCAAGGGTGGAAACTGGACTTTTATAGTCAGTTAACTCCCTTGCTTCGTGAAGATGACTGTTACGGGAATGATGCGGGGACTCGGTATACTTTCTTTGTCCTTCAGTTTACCTGCCGTTGGTGTTTAGTCAGTATTTTCATATACCTATAAACCTCCACTGACGTCATCCTATTGTTCTCCAGTGGGGTTAAATCTCACAAACAGGGATGTTACAATATCGCTGGGATTTTATAATATACCAGTGATATTGCTATATTATATATAACCGGGAATATATTAATACAACTTCCGTTTAGATAGTAACATCTAAACATTTTCTCGCCAGAAATGTATTTTGCATTTAAAATCAAACAACAAATGTTTTCTTCATAATACCCAGGGATGGAACACGCAACATTTGTATCTGTAGCCCAGAAATTCAACAATCACTTGTATCGGTCCTGTTTTATGCAGGTACTTTCCATAACGCACCGTAATAGTTAAACTGGTTGATCTTTTCTGTTTTAATTCCGACAATTTTTAAACTTCCATCTCACGGACCACTTGACGGTTTCTATTAAGAATGAAGCCATATTTGTTTATGGGATAAACATTAATTACAGCTAAACAATTATATTTTTCAAGTATTTGATCGAAGAAATTATTTTTTATTAATCTTCTCCATCCTTTCCCAAGAGAATCAAGTGGTTTGTCCCTTAAGGGGAGCTTATGGAGATCTGTTGAGTAGAAACAGGTTGTATTTTGGATACAAATGTATGTTTAGGAATGTCAGAGCCCCGAGCTAATGGCAGGGATGGTAACGCCCTCCCGAACCCTCGTCTCGTGAGTAGGACCCTTCATGCTAGTGATGAGGATCTCCCGGATTCAGCGTCCCACACTCACCTCGTGATGCAGTGGGGTCAGTTTATTGACCATGATACAACCAGCACTCCAATACAAAGAGGTAGGTCAGGAATCACAAGTACATCTAATGCAATTCACACAGGTGCAACAGACACATTCACAATAGTATCAGTTTGCACGAAGGTAGATCTGATTGTGTCATTGGTTACCCTCCTTGCGAAAACCTGGTGTCAGCACTGATTTTCAGTGATCCATTCATATATTTTTCATGGCTATTTTGCTTTTTCCGTCCAGTGAAATCTGTTTTGTCGTATAATCGAGACTTGTCATTCTTTGTCGTTTACGTTTTGTATCATTTCCAAAAGTATAACAAACACATTGACATTGGGTGGTTCACCTACATCATGAAAAGAAGACAAACGTGTTGACAATAGTATGTGTAGTTTTCCTACAAGATAAAGGGGATACAATGGTGTTAACAATAGTATCAGTGATTCACCTACAATAAAAGGTGAGGACAGACGTGTTGACAATATTATTAGTGATCCGACTACAATATAAGTGAGATCAGACGTGTTGACAATACCATCAGTGATTAACCTACAATATAAAGTGAAGACAAACTTGTTCACAATAATATCAGTGGTCTACCTACAAGATAAAGTTAAGAAAAACGTGTTGACAATACCATCAGTGATTAACCTACAATATTATGCGACGACAAGTGACGACAAACGTGTTGACAATAATATCAGTGTTCCTACAATATAAAGTGAAGACAAACTTGTTGACAATAATATCAGTGATTCATCTACAATATGAAGTGAAGACAGACGTGTTGACAATAGTATCTGTGATTCGCCTAGAATAAAAAAGTGACGACAAACTTGTTGATAATAGTATCAGCGGTTTACCTACACTATGAAGACAGATTTGTTGACAACTGTATATGTGGTCTACCTTCACTATAAAGACAGATTTGTTGATATTAGTATCAGTGGTCTACCTACACTATGAAGACAGATGTGTTGAGAATTGTATTATGAGTTAGTGAGTATGGTTTTACGCCGCTTTTAGCAATATTCCAGCAATATTCGGCGTGACGAGCGAACCACAATGCTACCCGACAATTGACAATTGTATTGGTGGTCTACCTACACTATGAAGACAGATGTGTTGACAATTGTATTGATGGTCTACCTATGCTAAGAAGACAGACGTGTTGACAATTATATTAGTGACCCACCTACTCTATGACGACAGACGTGTTGACAATTGTATCGGTGGTCTACCTACACTATAAAGACAGATGTGTTGACAATTGTATTGGTGGTCTACCTACACTATAAAGACAGACGTGTTGACATCTGTATTGGTGGTCTACCTACAATATAAAGACAGATGTGTTGAAAATTGTATTGGTGGTCTACCTATGCTAAGAAGACAGACGTGTTGACAATTATATTAGTGACCCACCTACTCTATGACGACAGACGTGTTGACAATTGTATTGGTGGTCTACCTACACTATGAAGACAGATGTGTTGACAATTGTATTAGTGGTCTACCGACACTATAAAGACAGACGTGTTGACAACTGTATTGGTGGTCTACCTACACTATAAAGACAGACGTGTTGACAACTGTATTGGTGGTCTACCGACACTATAAAGACAGACGTGTTGACAATTGTATTGGTGGTCTACCTACACTATAAAGACAGACGTGTTGACAATTGTATTGGTGGTCTACCTACACTATAAAGACAGACGCGTTGACAATTGTATTGGTGGTCTACCGACACTATAAAGACAGACGCGTTGACAATTGTATTGGTGGTCTACCGACACTATAAAGACAGACGCGTTGACAATTGTATTGGTGGTCTACCGACACTATAAAGACAGACGCGTTGACAATTGTATTGGTGGTCTACCGACACTATAAAGACAGACGCGTTGACAATTGTATTGGTGGTCTACCTACACTATAAAGACAGACGTGTTGACAACTGTATTGGTGGTCTACCGACACTATAAAGACAGACGCGTTGACAATTGTATTGGTGGTCTACCGACACTATAAAGACAGACGCGTTGACAATTGTATTGGTGGTCTACCGACACTATAAAGACAGACGCGTTGACAATTGTATTGGTGGTCTACCGACACTATAAAGACAGACGTGTTGACAACTGTATTGGTGGTCTACCGACACTATAAAGACAGACGTGTTGACAATTGTATTGGTGGTCTACCTACACTATAAAGACAGACGTGTTGACAATTGTATTGGTGGTCTACCTACACTATAAAGACAGACGCGTTGACAATTGTATTGGTGGTCTACCGACACTATAAAGACAGACGCGTTGACAATTGTATTGGTGGTCTACCGACACTATAAAGACAGACGCGTTGACAATTGTATTGGTGGTCTACCGACACTATAAAGACAGACGCGTTGACAATTGTATTGGTGGTCTACCGACACTATAAAGACAGACGCGTTGACAATTGTATTGGTGGTCTACCTACACTATAAAGACAGACGTGTTGACAACTGTATTGGTGGTCTACCGACACTATAAAGACAGACGCGTTGACAATTGTATTGGTGGTCTACCGACACTATAAAGACAGACGCGTTGACAATTGTATTGGTGGTCTACCGACACTATAAAGACAGACGTGTTGACAACTGTATTGGTGGTCTACCGACACTATAAAGACAGACGCGTTGACAATTGTATTGGTGGTCTACCGACACTATAAAGACAGACGCGTTGACAATTGTATTGGTGGTCTACCGACACTATAAAGACAGACGTGTTGACAATTGTATTGGTGGTCTACCGACACTATAAAGACAGACGCGTTGACAATTGTATTGGTGGTCTACCTACACTATAAAGACAGACGCGTTGACAATTGTATTGGTGGTCTACCGACACTATAAAGACAGACGCGTTGACAATTGTATTGGTGGTCTACCGACACTATAAAGACAGACGTGTTGACAATTGTATTGGTGGTCTACCGACACTATAAAGACAGACGCGTTGACAATTGTATTGGCGGTCTACCGACACTATAAAGACAGACGCGTTGACAATTGTATTGGTGGTCTACCTACACTATAAAGACAGACGCGTTGACAATTGTATTGGTGGTCTACCGACACTATAAAGACAGACGTGTTGACAACTGTATTGGTGGTCTACCGACACTATAAAGACAGACGCGTTGACAATTGTATTGGTGGTCTACCGACACTATAAAGACAGACGTGTTGACAACTGTATTGGTGGTCTACCGACACTATAAAGACAGACGCGTTGACAACTGTATTGGTGGTCTACCGACACTATAAAGACAGACGTGTTGACAATTGTATTGGTGGTCTACCGACACTATAAAGACAGACGTGTTGACAATTGTATTGGTGGTCTACCGACACTATAAAGACAGACGCGTTGACAATTGTATTGGTGGTCTACCTACACTATAAAGACAGACGCGTTGACAATTGTATTGGTGGTCTACCTACACTATAAAGACAGACGCGTTGACAATTGTATTGGTGGTCTACCGACACTATAAAGACAGACGCGTTGACAATTGTATTGGTGGTCTACCGACACTATAAAGACAGACGCGTTGACAATTGTATTGGTGGTCTACCGACACTATAAAGACAGACGCGTTGACAATTGTATTGGTGGTCTACCTACACTATAAAGACAGATGTGTTGACAATTGTATTGGTGGTCTAGCGACACTATAAAGACAGACGCGTTGACAATTGTATTGGTGGTCTACCTACACTATAAAGACAGACGCGTTGACAATTGTATTGGTGGTCTACCGACACTATAAAGACAGACGCGTTGACAATTGTATTGGTGGTCTACCGACACTATAAAGACAGACGCGTTGACAATTGTATTGGTGGTCTACCGACACTATAAAGACAGACGTGTTGACAATTGTATTGGTGGTCTACCTACACTATAAAGACAGATGTGTTGACAATTGTATTGGTGGTCTACCGAAACTATAAAGACAGACGCGTTGACAATTGTATTGGTGGTCTACCGACACTATAAAGACAGATGTGTTGACAATTGTATTGGTGGTCTAAACAGTGAAACTAAACATTCAGGCAAAATGTTAAATTTGTCTTTACAGCATACATAATTTATACAATGTGACCATTGGGGTTGCAGGAAACGATGAATCTATTATCACGTGCTGCATTGATGACATCCCACCCGGCACTCCGCAGGTTCTCATCGATCTTCTCGCAGACAGGTAAGGCATGTGCATGATCTACATTGTAAGTATGTCCTTCCCTTTGTTTACTATGGAATATTTTTTAAGTGATGTTGAAACGATAAACGGCTGTTCCATTGGTCACATGACCGCGAAACTGAAGTTCTTAAGTGTATGAACGACACATTGTGATGTTTTCACGAGACTCTATTCACTGACGGTCTACTTCCACATTCCTGGGAAAACGCCTGGGAATTCCCTTGCACGAATAAACAGAGAAGCGTTCTTTCTGGTCATTTAAACCCTTTAATCTTGAACTTAGCGTTTAGCATACATTGGGTTATATAGTTTGGTTGTATGCCCGTTAAAGCACATCCTCGCTACAGCCGATCCTAGAGAAGAAAACGAGGTGAGGTGAAATGGGGTTTAACGTCGCGTGCAAGATTATTGCACTTATATAGCGACTTACATGCACGTGTGTGTGTGTGTGTGTGTGTGTGTGTGTGTGTGTGTGTGGCTGCTTGTACTAGTCCGACCTGAGTCCGATTTATAGCGCTAGCCCCCTGAGATACCATGCCGCAGTTTAGCATGAATACCCCACTCAGACACAGTATACTGACTCCGAGCCGACCAGTCCTTGTTTTAGCCCCTTAATGCCGAGCGCCAGACAGGGTAACATCGTTTAACTATCTTTGGGTATGACGCGACCGGGAATCGAACCCGGAACCTTCCGCTCTCCGGGCGGACGCTCTATGACTAGACCACGGAGGCGGTCAGAACAAAACGAAGAAAAGTACATCCCAACTATCCTGGTATCCATTCTTGTCTAGACTAAAGTGACAGTATTCATCAGTCTATGGATTTAGGCTCTATTTGACACATCTTTACAATCCCATTTCAATGATCGGCCAATTTATCAGTGATGGCAAACACTTGTAATAGCCACAGGTTCATTTATAAATCTCTCCTGTTACGTATAACGTGTCGGCCATTTTGACGTCTTGTACTTGATGTAATTGAATTATAGCGCGCTGTCATTGTGACTGACTTACTGAGGTAGTTCTGAACAGACCTTTCTCATCTAATAAGGATATTATGTGAATGCATGTTCCTGTAGAGCACGCTGAGCATACATACGCTCATGTCACCTCTCGTTTTGAGGAACTATTTTATTCCGAGATACAGCTGGTTGTTGAATGGCTCTCGGTGTAACCATGAAGTCACACATACTAAATATAATTGTGTATAGATCTAGGTCTACGTCCTTTGAGGTATAAAATAGTGATATAAAAATGATAAGATTTGGCTTTTACTTTGTGTGAGTCTATTGGAGTATGAACCTTCATAGAGTGAGGGCCAAACATTGTATGAACGTCGTCGATAACTCCGAAGTTCATACAGTTTGGCCCTCAATATACGAAGATTCAAAATGAAATCTCACAAAGTGAAAGTCAATTCTTAATTCATTATGGATTTAAAAGCAGCAATTTGAAACATGTATTTATGCATAAACACATGAATTTATGCAAAAACACCGCAGAGAATTCATGGTATCTGGAAACTTGCCAAATGCTGATATTACTTTCAAACTGTCTGTGAGTGAGTGAGTGAGTTGGGTTTAACGCCGATTTTAACATTATTCCAGTTATATCACGGCGTGTCAGCTTAATGTGGGAGGAAAGCCCGAAGTGATGCAGGTCTAGGACGTTTACCACTTCGGTGAAACCCACGAGCACGGGTATGGTGCTGACAAATCTAGAAACATAATCGGGGCGAACCGGGATTCGAACCCACAATCATAGGTTTCTAGCGTGCCCAAGGGACGCAACTCTGCACAGCGAATCGCGGCGCCTTAGACGACTGGGCCACCCGTGCCCCCTCAAACTGCATGTAGCTACTTAGGAGATATCACATACGTTTACGTTGAAAATAAAAATAATGTGTGTACTTATCCCGGTCCAGGAATCAGTGTGCACACGACTATAAATCTCAGCTCCCTGGGGAGTATACAACCCAAGCTGCCTGGAAGGCACAAGCAGGTGAACCAAACACCACATTACCAAATCACCTTACTGATTGAATTGGAAACTGAACGTGCAATTATGCGGCCGTCAAATCAGCTGTTTCAATCAGAGAATGTTAAATACAGTAAACTACGTTTATAACGAACACGCTTATAACGAACTGGCGGATATAACGAACTTTTTTTTAGTCCCGACCATTTGTTGTATATATGCTGTATGTATGCATATAACGAACTACGGTTATTACGAACTACAATTAGTGGTACCCTCGAGTTCGTTATAACCGTAGTCTACTGTATTGTGGTTTGAGACCTCTCACTGACCAGTCGGAATCGCGTATATTGTCCAACATGATGGTAAAATATTATTTACTATTTGAAGAATTTAAGAATCACACTAGCATCCGATTTAAAGGGTATTCAAAATAGATATTACATGGATACGTCTGTTCAAAACTGGACATATATACTCACCGCCAAAAGAAAAGCGAACCATAGAAACATACAGCGAAGTGTCTACATTAAGAATGGATGTTTCCAATGTGTACCACTTATTGAGAAAACTAACAACCAGTCAAGTGTTACCACAGCGTGTCTTTATTTTTATCACGATATGCTGTACGTGATTTCCAAACTTCACACACTAATCCTGTACGAGTAAACCGGTGCATCTCGAATCATTGATCTATGACGTCACGTGTGATGCTTTCATGAGCGTCGGTTCACACAACATACCAGTATGTTCATTTGTGCATCGAACCAATCTAATATCTCTTGAATATGAGTAATTCTTCATATATCAACCGCGTTGGTGGGATCCGCGTTTCTTTTGGGGGTGAGTATATATTGTGTCAGGTTTAAAGTATGTAGACACATTGCATGATCATATCAGGGTTATTAACCCCTTATCCTTCGGCGGTCACTGTAATGATTAACGTAAGTTGCCCGGTTGCCATTCGTTAGCTTACAGTATACTTGTAGTGAGTGAGTGAGGTGCGATTAACGCCGCTTTTAGACCTGTGAAAGATGCGGGGTGGAATAGGTCTTCAGTAACCCATACTTGCCTTGTCTTTTCAATGCAATATGTATAGGGTGGAAATAACACAGGTTAAATGGTCACAACATTGCTGCTCTTTCTATGACAGAGCCTGTAGTTAACTGTATGATGTTTCTATGTGAGTGAGTTTAAGAGTGACATCGCTCAGGAATTGAAAGGTGGGAGGCGGAGTTATCTAGAGCTGCAAAAAATAATAACTGGCATTTTGGCATGAGATTTTTGACATATCCACTCAATCTCATTCAAATCAGATCTGAGTTCTCGCTGCCGCTAAACAAAGATCTGAGGACACCCCATTACGAGTCACGTCAGAACCTTTCGCGAACTTTGACCGAAAACTGAAATGTCCAACAAGAAGTCGACATCAGCCAATTGTTCGGATGAAAGGTCGTTCTGGCGTGACCCGTAATGGGACTAAGATCTGATTTTAATGAGATTGATCATTCACTATTAATATCATAAGCAGCTGGAAATAACACAGGTTAAATGGTCACAACATTGCTGCTCTTTCAGAGATGTATGTTTCTCCATCCCCATCCCCGAGGGAGATGAAACGTTTACTGACCGGACATGTTTAAACTTCGTACGCTCTATTCAAGTTCCTAACGCCGATTGTGAATTTGGTAAGAGTCATTTTCATTTTATTTTATTCCGGGTATAGTCAGTAATTAATCCTTTGACAGAGCCTGTAGTTGACTGTATGATGTTTCAATGACAGAGCCTGTAGTTGACTGTATGATGTTTCTATGACAGAGTCTGTAGTTGACTGTATGATATTTCTATGACAGAGCCTGTAGTTGACTGTATGATGTTTCAATGACAGAGCCTGTAGTTGATTGTATGATATTTCTATGACAGAGCCTGTAGTTGACTGTATGATGTTTCAATGACAGAGCCTGTAGTTGACTGTATGATGTTTCAATGACAGAGCCTGTAGTTGACTGTATGATATTTCTATGACAGAGCCTGTAGTTGACTGTATGATGTTTCAATGACAAAGCCTGTAGTTGACTGTATGATGTTTCTATGACAGAGTCTGTAGTTGGCTGTATGATGTTTCTATGACAGAGCCTGTAGTTAACTGTATGATGTTTCTATGACAGAGCCTGTAGTTGACTGTATGATGTTTCTATGACAGAGCCTGAAGTTGACTGTATGATATTTCAATGACAGAGCCTGTAGTTGACTGTATGATGTTTCTATGACAGAGCCTGTAGTTGACTGTATGATGTTTCTATGACAGAGCCTGTAGTTAACTGTATGATGTTTCTATGACAGAGCCTGTAGTTGGCTGTATGATGTTTCTATGACAGAGCCTGTAGTTAACTGTATGATGTTTCTATGACAGAGCCTGTAGTTGACTGTATGATGTTTCTATGACAGAGCCTTTAGTTAACTGTATGATGTTTCTATGACAGAGCCTGTAGTTTACTGTATGATGTTTCTATGACAGAGCCTGTAGTTAACTGTATGATGTTTCTATGACAGAGCCTGTAATTGACTGTATGGTGTTTCTATGACAGAGCCTTTAGTTAGCTGTATGATGTTTCTATGACAGAGCCTGTAGTTAACTGTATGATGTTTCTATGACAGAGCCTGTAGTTAACTGTATGATGTTTCTGTGACAGAGCCTGTAGTTGGCTGTATGATGTTTCTATGACAGAGCCTGTATTTGACTGTATGATGTTTCTATGACAGAGCCTGTAGTTGACTGTATGATGTTTCTATGACAGAGCCTGTAGTTGACTGTATGATGTTTCTATGACAGAGCCTGTAGTTAACTGTATGATGTTTCTATGACAGAGCCTGTAGTTGGCTGTATGATGTTTCTATGACAGTGTCTGTAGTTGGCTGTATGATGTTTCTATGACAGAGTCTGTAGTTGACTGTATGATGTTTCTATGACAGAGTCTGTAGTTGACTGTATGATGTTTCTATGACAGAGCCGGTGGAGCAGCTCAACCAGGTAACAGCCTTCGTTGACGGGTCGACCGTGTATGGGTCAACACAAGAAGAGCAGGATGCGCTGAGACTGCACAAGTATGGTAATACAGTCACTTCTCCAACTAAAGGAGATCTCCTACATCTGTTTTATATTGTACACGACGTCTGTTGCATAAACAAACAAGAAAAGTGCGATCTGAATTAAGTTCCTTTTAACCAGTATTCTATGTAACCGAGTTGGCGATGCCCGTGTTCCATTGCACGTTACTTTAGCTCTACATGCAATGTGTTTGAATATGTTTTATAACACGTACTACTGGTCAGATGCGAAAAAGAGAACCATTTAACTAAAACAAGCTTGAAAGATACTGTAAGGAGCTAGTAAGTAAGTTTAAGAGTGACATCGCTCAGGAATAATTTAAAGGTGGGAGGCTGAGTTATCTAAAGCTGCAAAAAATAATAACTGGCATTTTGGCATGAGATTTTTGACATATCTACTCAATCTCATTCAAATCAGATCTGAGTTCTCGCTGCCGCTAAACAAAGTTCTGAGGACATCCCATTACGGATCACGTCAGAACCTTTCGCGAACTTTGATCGACCACTGAAATGTCCAACAAGAAGTCTACATCAGCCAAATGGTCGGATGAAAGGTCGTTCTGGCGTGACCCGTAATGGGACTAAGATCACTATTAATATCATAAGCAGCTGCTATGTACTAATAAACTTATACCGTATTCCGCAGGACTGTTAGACTTTCAAGATGATCAGCTTGAACTGCTTCCCAATTCCGACGTGCAGAACTGCATTCCTGAGGAACTGCCAGAGAGCTTCTGCTTCTTAGCAGGTTTGTGTGACACACTTATGTTTCGTTACTCGTTTGTCTGCCTATCTCTTTGTTGTTTAACTCAGCAATATTCCAGCTATGTGACGGCGGTCTGTAATTAATCGAGTCTGGACCAGACAATCCAGTGATTGACATCATGAGCATCGACCCACGCAATTGGGATCGATGACATGCCTCAACAAAGTCAGCGAGCCTGACCACCCGATCCCGTTATTCGCCTTTTATGGCAAGAATGGGTTGCTGAAGACCTATTCTACCCCGGATCTTCACGGGTCCAATTTAGATTTCAATTTAATTTATGTCTGATTTGTCATCCGTCAGCTTCTAAGTAATGCCTATCAAACAATTCATATCGTCAATAGGTGATGAACGAGTCAATGAGCAGACTGGGCTCACGAGCATGCATACGATATGGATGAGACAACACAACCGTATCGCCCGAGGCCTACGTCGACTAAATCCCCACTGGGATGATGAGGGGATCTTCCAGGAGTCCAGGAAGATTGTTGGTGCTATGATCCAAAAGATCACATACGAGGAGTTCTTACCAGTTCTCCTCAACAAGAAGACCATAGAGTTCTTCCGACTGGATCCAAGCGAAAGAGGATACAGAACCGTCTACAATGAGAATTCAGATCCCAGCATTAGAAGCGCCTTTTCCTCTGCCGCCTATCGTCTGGGACATACTCTCATCCGCGGAACATTATCCAAACTGACATCACCCTATGAAATTCAGGGAGAAAAAACCCTGAGGTCTCTCTTCGGAAACGCTTCTTTGATCGTGGAGACGAGGGGTCAGACTATCCCTTGGCTGCTTGGCGGAATGACCAGAGATCATGCAAGAACATTTGATCGTTTCCTGACGCCGGATGTGACGAATAACTTGTTCTTGGACAGAAATGGTAATAGTTTTGATTTGGCATCTCTGAACATCCAGAGAGGGAGGGATCATGGTATATCCGGCTACAACGCCTGGAGGAGATGGTGCAAGCTCCCGGAAGCTGAGAACTTTGGAACTGGATTCAACGGACTAGTGGACCATCCTAGTGATGCAGCTCGACTACTAGGACAGTTGTACAGGTAATCTCTGACACATCTCCATCAAACGTTAAAATAAAGGACTGCAACTACAAACAATCATACCGTATATTGATACTTAAAGTGAGTGAGTTGGGTTTAACGCCGCTTTTAACAGTATTCCAGTTATATCGCGGCGTGTCAGCTCAATGTGGGAGGATGTGATGCAGGTCTCAGACGTTTACCACTTCGGTGAAACCCACGAGCGGGGGAATGGTGCTGACAAACCTAGAAACATAATCGGGGCGAACCGGGATTCGAACCCACAATCGTAGGTTTCTGGCGTGCCCAAGGGAAACAACTTTGTACAGCGAATCGCGGCGCCTTAGACGACTGGGCCACCCGTGCCCCCTGATACTTAAAGACATCAATGGGTCGTTTAAAGCGGGTCTATGTCCGGAACAATTAGCTATCCCAGTAAACACGTGTGTGTGTTTAGGAAGTATATGATATTTTGATTTAACGATAACGTTTATGACACCAGGACAGCGTCTTGGGGCAAACGGGAGACTTATTACAGCGTCTAGACAATGCTAAGATGAATTCCAGCTTCTCAAAAAAGGAGGGGCGGTCGAGTAGCCTAGTGGTTAAAGCGTTCACTCGTCACGCCGAAGACTCGGGTTCGATCCCCGACATGGGTACAATGTGTGAAGCCCATTTCTGGTGTCCCCCGTCGTGATATTGCTGGAATATTGCCCAAAGCGGGGTAAAACCATATTCACTAACTCACTCACTCTCAAAAAAGGAGACAGGTTTTTGGTACTGTTTGTTTGTTGTTTAACGCCGCACTGAGCAATATTCCAGCCGTCATACGGCTGGAATATTGCTCAGTGCGGCGTTAAACAACAAACAAACAAAACATACACTACAAACACCAAACCACTGATGTAATGATTCTATAACTACCTAACCAGCCCACCAAGATCCCTGATACAGATGAGGTTGCCAAGCAACCAGAGCCCTGCCAGACAGATTATAACCTGAGGTTCACTGTTCCTAGTCACCCGGACGACATCGATCTGTTCCCTGGCGCCATCAGTGAACGCCCGCTTCCCGGTGGTGTGGTCGGAGCAACCATCGCCTGCATCATTGGCAATCAGTTCCAGCTTCTCAAAGAAGGAGACAGGTTTTGGTACGAGACGGCCATGGACCCAGTCCGCTTCTCTGTAGGTGAGGCTTGAGTATACAGTGTATGTGCATCATTGTTGCGCCGTGTTCGCTATGGCATTCTTACCATCGTATCAGTGCAACCGAGGGGGTGGTGGGGTAGCCTACTGGTTAAAGCGTTCGCCGCGGGTTCGATTCCCCACATATCTGAAGCCCATTTCTGGTGTTCTCCGTCGTGTCACTGCAACCAAAGTTGCAATGATCCTGTGTTTGACTTTTACAAAGTATGCCAGAATTAATGGTTCAAAATATAAATGGATTATGGTCACGTAGCTATGTAACAATCATTCATGTTTGAATAAACGATTAACCATTCCTATCAAATTCTTCTCAGTGTATTAACATGAATTTACGGTTGTAAGAATCACTCATGTTTGAATAAACGATGAACCATTCCTATCAAATTCTTCTCAGTGTATTAACATGAATTTACGGTTGTAAGAATCACTCATGTTTGAGCGAACGATGAACCATTCCTATCAAATTCTTCTCAGTGTATTAACATGAATTTACGGTTGTAAGAATCACTCATGTTTGAATAAACGATGAACCATTCCTATCAAATTCTTCTCAGTGTATTAACATGAATTTACGGTTGTAAGAATCACTCATGTTTGAATAAACGATGAACCATTCCTATCAAATTCTTCTCAGTGTATTAACATGAATTTACGGTTGTAAGAATCACTCATGTTTGAATAAACGATGAACCATTCCTATCAAATTCTTCTCAGTGTATTAACATGAATTTACGGTTGTAACAATCACTCATGTTTGAGCGAACGATTAACCATTCCTATCAAATTCTTCTCAGTGTATTAACATGAATTTACGGTTGTAAGAATCACTCATGTTTGAGCGAACGATTAACCATTCCTAGCAAATTCTTCTCAGTATAATACGTTTCTACGGTATTTTGGCACAGGTCAGTTCCGCTCCCTCCAGTCTGTGACGATTGCCAAGGTTGTCTGTGTAAATGCCAGACTACCTCTCATCCAGCCAGATGCACTCCATGTAGCAGATTATATGTAAGTATGTTTGAGCAACCGAAATGGGGTAACATTTAGTCTCCCAGATGTGGTATTCGTTAGTCCATCACTTGTTTGGGTTTTTTTTGTCTGTAGTTTAACGTCATACTCATCAAAAGTCCAGCTCTATGACAGCGGTCTGTAAATAATCAAATCTGGACCTGACAATCGGGTGTTTGATACTCCACGCATGGGATACGATGCCATGCAATCAACTAAGTCACCGAGCCTGTTAATCTATTTAATCGACTTACGACAAGCATAGGTTGCTGTGGGGCTATAGTGAGTGAGTGAGTGAGTGAGTGAGTGAGTGAGTGAGTGAGTGAGTAGGGTTTAACGCCGCTTTTAACATTATTCCTGTTATATCACGGCGTGTCAGCTTAATGTGGGAGGAAAGCACGAAGTGATGCAGGTCTAAGACGTTTACCACTTTGGTGAAACCCACGAGCACGGGTATTGTGCTGACAAACCTAGAAACATAATTGGGGCGAACCGGGATTCGAACCCACAATCGTAGGTTTCTGCATGCACAAGGGACGCAACTCTGCACAGCGAATCTCGGCGCCTTAGACGAATGTGCCCCCCCCCCCCCCCCCCCCGTGCTCCCCGTGGGGCTATAGTCTTACCCTGAAGTCCCTGTAAATTTCACCCCAGAAGTGAACAAAATGCAAATAAGTTCATTCAGTGGTACTAAAATACCGATACTGTGTTTATTGTTTTGCAGTAACAACCCCCTGGTCCGATGCAAAGACCTGCCAGATCTTGACCTAGCTCCCTGGAAGGAAGGCCCTCCTTTGTGGAGCGATTGGTCTGGGTGGTCGCGGTGCATTGCCGGCATGCAACAACGTCATCGGGTATGCAGATCTAGCTACACCAGATGTAGTGGCCCAGACATTCAGAGGAGGCGATGCAGGAGGTTCCCATACCTTGCCAGATATGGACGCGATGGTCCAGCCGGGTATGGACCCGATGGTCAAGCTGGATACCTTGCACGAGCACCCTCCGATGGGGATGACTCTTATTACGGTTAACCCCCGGAAATGGACATGGGATTATGGTGCATCACACAGCCGTCTTGTCCGAGGCGATCCTCTGTTCGTAAGAATGATGGCGGATATGTGTTCATGTACAAGGGGATGATAAACGGAAAAGTAAATAATAAAGAAAACATTAATTCTTTTGTCGTATTTATAGATTGAATATGGACATTGAGGAGGATATTCTATTTAGATAATGCAGTGTTGATATATGCATTATGTTTATAACTGACCCGTGAAGATCCAGGGTGGAGTTGGTCTTCAGCAACCCAAACTTGCCGTAAAAAGCGAATATGCTTGTAAGGGGCGACCAACGGAATAGGATGGTCAGGCTCGCTGATTTTGTTCGTGCATGTCCTCGTATCCCAATTGCTTGGATCGATGCTCATGATGTCGATCACTGGATCGTCTGGTCCAGACTCAATTATTTAAAGACCGCCGTCATATAGCTGGAATATTGCCGAGTGCGGCGTTAAAGAACAAACAAAGAAAGCATCAATTATTCACACTGTCCAAAAGGGATAATATCTCGCTGCACGGAAATGGATCAACGTTTCCGCATATCGATATGCTATAGGCCTGTTCTCGGCCCTCTCGACAGGCAGACCTCGCTACGCGGAAATTGGTCAACGTTTCCTGCATAGCGATATGCTATAGGCCTGTTCCCGGCCTTCTCGACAGACCATCTTCCCGAGGCAAGAGAGTTAACTGACTGTAAAAGTCCAGTTTCCACCCTTGCCGAACTAGGCTGGAATTCCTGGGCTCGATCGTAGCGCCACCAGTGGTTATTAAGAGTTATGTCTCTACTAACCCTCCCCTATGGACCAATCAGGTTCCACCTCTCGTATCACTAGCATTTTGTTTCAAAATGGCGGCACCGAGTGAGGACGATCTTATCGATAATCAAGATTTATATTGTGATAAAACGGGTCTTACATCGCAAAGTGCATCAAATCACGTGAGCACCTTGATTAAAAACATGAAAAGATTGGAAAATATCTGTTGGCTTTGCAAATCTTGCAATCGACCGAAATCTGTCCGAAAGTGTACAAACCGGATTTCGATTTTGTTGCGCGATTTTGATACTATGCATAGACTCGTTAGTCCAGCCAAAATGTAACTCCATTATACCAGCCTAGTTTGGCAAGGGTGAAAACTGGACTTTAATAGTCAGTTAACTATCTTGCCTCGGGAAGATGCGACAGACAGACCCGCTTCACGGAAATGGGTCGGATCGTTAGACTGGTACCCTGCCCTTAGCCTCCCAGCGGCTGCAGGCGCAAGCCCACTACAGAAGGTAAACCAGTCTAGGACAGTACGTGTCCCTTCTTATGATATTTGCCGAATAACATAAACATGTTTATGGTATAATTTACAGTAAAGAATGTTTTAAAAAATATTTTCATAATTATGTATGTATTTCGTATGTATGCAATATCATTATACATATCTGAGACAAAGATAAAGTTTCTCATAAAAGTTTGGTTTCATATTTCCAACTATTACTCATCCCTGTGTAACTTTCCACATGTAACTCTCTCAAACCAAAAACAATTAAAGCACACTGCAATATCACCAAAACCGACAGGCTGTCGCATCATGATACCCAGACGAACATACCCAACTGTGTCAATGTTCAGTGGAACCCCGCTTATCCGGACCTCTTGCATCCCGGATATTTACGTAAAACGAAATATATACTACATAAAATGCTTCACTGATCAGGAAATCTGTTTTTCGGATCCGGACATTGAAATTTCATTACCAACAGTGCAAAAAACAACCAATTGTGTCCCACTTCCCGGACTGCGGGCATACTTGACGGTGTTTGTTTTGCAATTCATCAACCCACATCCAACATTAAAGGTTGGTTATCATGTGATCCTGGTATTACACATTCTGTTTATAAAAAGTGACCATTGCATATCTGGACTGTTTAGAATTTATTTGGTTAATTTTTTTAAAACTTTATTTCAAATATTATTTATATCAATATCGGCGAAATTGGGTGCGATCTGATTGGCAGATCCCACAAACTCACGATCACAACAACCACGATCAGATATTACCGCGATTGACGCCATCAAACAAACGTTTGTTGACAGAATGGAAGAACATATAATAAATGCCATACGTTAGACTCTTTAAAAGTTATTTTTCTTGTAGTTTGACAATTATATGCCAAGTTAATGTTTTTGCGATCGAAAATTATGTATATAGCAACGGCTGTCCTAGTGTAATATGGTACTCAACCTGAACAAGGACGGTATGACTGTTGCATTGTCAACAAAACAAGATCTGGCTGTGCTAGGTGCAAACCACATACCAGAAGAATGACCTGGCCGCTCTACTGTAACATTGTACCCGAACTGTGGCCTGGTCATCTTCCCGAGGCAAGAGAGTTAACTGACTTTAAAAGGCCAGTTTCCATCCTTGCCGAAATACGCTGGAATTCCTGGGCTCGATCGTAGCGCCACCAGTGGCTATTACGAGTTATGTCCTTTCTATGCCTCTCCTATTGACCAATCAGATTCAACCTCTCGTATCACTTGCATTTGCTTCAAACAAAACGGTGGCGCCCAGTCAAGCCGATCTGATCGATAATCGTGATCTATATTGTGATAAAACGAGTCTGACATCGCGAAGTGCATCAAATCACGTGAGCACCTTGATTAAAAACATGAAAAGATTTAGAAAATATCTGTTGACAACGAGTTAGCGGTACACATGCTTTGCAAATCCTGCAGTCGACCGAAATCTGCATGACACTTTACGAAACGGATTTTGAGTTCGGTGCGCGATTTTGATTGGACTATGCATAGACTCGTTAGTCCAGCCAAAACGTAACTCCATAATACCAGGCTAGTTCGGCAAGGGTGGAAACTGGACTTTTATAGTCAGTTAACTCACTTGCCTCAGGAAGATGTGGCCTGGTTGACTTTGTGTAGTACCATACACTAACAAGGACCTGTCGTAGCATTGCATGTTTCGAATGATGTCCTTGTTCTGCTGGTGTAACAATTGACAACAGGACAGCCAGGACACCCTGTAATATCCTGTGAACATAAACCATGCTGCTGCTGCTGCTGCTGATGATGATGTGACTACCTCATCTCAAGTTGTGTAGATTTTAATGTTTGTTTGATGTTCGAGGTCACATTCATCATAATATTCCAGCTATATGATGGCATCAAGTAAATAATCGAGAGTGGACAAGACACTCCAGTGATTGATATTATAAGCAACGGTCTACATTGTTAGGGTAAGACGACAAGCTATTGAACAAGTCATCGAGTCTGACCACCCATTCCATTAAATCACCTCTTAGGATCAAACTGATATGAATGTAAAATGTAGTCATAAAAAATATACTGCTCACACAAAGTAGGGGATATTGAAAAGTTACGACGAACAGTTTCAGAATTATGTTTAATGTTCATTGGGAAACAATAATAATGTGGAAATAAGGATGTTAAGAAACAGTTTTGAAAGTAATGACTTTGATCAAGCTTCAATTTCATTTTGTAGACACTGGAAAGTTCATGAGGGGTAGAAACCCAAAAGTCACAAATGGGTTAATACCGGGTTGGCCCACCATTAGCAGTCAAACAAGCATTACACCGACGTCTCATACTCCTAATTATGCGACCAATGTGAACTTGGGGAATCCTCTGCCATTCCTCTTGGAGTGCCACGCCCAGTTGTTGCAAGTCTGGACATGGGGGATGCCACCTCTGCACTCGTCTTCCGAGCATATCCCACACATGCTCTATAGGGGAGAGGTCGGGGGACATCGCTGGCCATGGAAGAGTTTCAATTTGGTGCTGCCGCAAATGGTTAAGGACGACGTGCGCACGGTGAGCCCTGGCATTATCGTCCTGGAAGATGAAACCCTGTCCGTGACGGTGTGCAAATGGCAGGACATGTGGCGTGGGGATGTTGTCCCGATAGTAAACATCCGTAACTCTTCCTTGGAAGATGTGGAGATCGGTTCTGCCTGTCACCGTGATTCCACCCCACACCATAACAGAACCCCTCCCATACCGATCATGTGGAATCATGGCAGCTGGCTGATGACGCTCACCAGGACGACGCCAGACACGATGACGGCCATCATTGAAGTCTAAAGAGAACCTCGACTGAACTGAACATCACATGGGACCACCGGGCATTGCTCCACCTCTGGTGACGACGACCCCACTCTCGCCGGGCTTGTCTGTGACGGTTTGTTAGGGGTAATGTGATGTAAGGTCGCCTTGCTCGAAGTTCTGCAGCATTGAACCGGTTTCGTACCGTCTGTGTGGAGATGAGATTCCCAGTTGCATGTCTGTGAACCTCCTGCAGCTGTGTCGCATTTAAACGTCGATCACGGAGGGCTCCAGTGATGATCCGCCGGTCATCACGTCTGGTTGTGCATTTTTGACGACCACTTCGGGGTCTGTCTGGAACCCCTCTAGTGGCAATGTAACGTGCCCACAACCGGCTGACTACTGACGGTGAGACATGCAGTTGTGCTGCTGTGTAGGCCTGCGTTCTTCCGGCCTGGATCATCCCAATTGCTCTCAATCTTTCGTCTTCTCGTAACCTTCGCATTGTGGAAAGTGGTGAAGTGATGGATGAACTTGGTCCAAAACCCATGTTAACACCGATTTTTGCACGTGAGGCACGTGGATTTTGTCATTTGCACGTGTGACACAAGATGTGATTTCTCATCCACACCCCTTGGTACGTTTGGGTGCAATTGTCCTGGATGCAAGGGCACCTGGTGGTCATTGTGAGGCATGCTTAGACTGACCTATGCTTTTCCTCAATCATACATAAATTATTTGTAGGCCTCTATATTACTGTCTTTGTGCCACTAATTATAATTTCAATATCCCCTACTTTTTGTGAGCAGTATACAAAAGACTTGTTATTAGTGTATGTGATAATTTATGACACATAACACACTGTACAATGCATGGCAGAATAACTTGTCAACCTAACTTTCAAAACTTTACTTTCTCCAAACACAAACACCTGGGAAAATGACCGACAAACATGAAACTGGCATTCATTTTTCTTTCCTGAAATAAAATCTTCATAATTATTTATCCGACACTTTTGAAGTTCATCTCACACCTGTAATATTGGGTGCTATCACCATCCACACTAAACTATCATCTTGGGAAGTCAAATTGTTGGTTCACCTGCCCATGGCTATTTTCAGATACGGTGTATACAATGTATGGCTATTTCTTCATTGTCCATCAGCGCCTGAGAGAAGGCGACACCGGGCACTGACCATGCCGGGGAGTGACCACAAGCTTCACAACTGGTGGCATAGCAATGAAGCCAAAATTTAACATAGAGATGTGTTTACGATATTCCTTATTCTAGTGCATCTTTCAGTTCTCCCATGTCCACATTCTCAATGTGAACTGTTGTGTCCGTCTCCATGTTGGACTGGTGCCAATGTTTGGGTTTCCGGCGCCCCCGAGGTCTCTGGAAGCTCCGCGTAGATCCATGACCGAAACATATATTCTGAGGCACTCTGGAAAATAAAACAACAATGTTAAAACCACAGACAGAAAACAAACACCAGTTAGTCATACAGTCATACGGTCATCCTTCACAAAGCTTAAGCTCTCTGGGTCTTGTGGTTTTTATCGCTTAAATATTTTTCACATATTGCTTCTTTTTTTTAATCCCTTTTTTCTGCAACAGAGATTATGTCACACTTTCAATTTCCAACACCTTGCGGCTAAACAGAATTTTTTTAATAAAACAATTTCAATATTACTTAATCTTTTAATGTAAAACAAAAAGAGAATGAAATAATCTTATCCCCCGCCATTATGACATGTCCATTTCTGTGCAAGGCAGTAGCCTTCCGGAAAAGATCACTAATGCAGTTAACTTAGTCAAAGTCATTGCTATGGAAACTCGGAAAAAAATTTGTTTAAAAATCCCAAACTATCAAAAGGCACCAGTTCACCACTAGACCTATCCGTGTGACAAGTTTGGTTAAGATATCTCCCATGGTTTTGAGTTCTGCTCCGGAAACATGCACCCATTCCTATATCAGTACATCTCCCTTCAAACTCAGGTCAGAAATGCTGAATTCCTTGCTCTTGTGCCCGAAATAAATAGATTCGAACATTTTTTTCTTAAAATGAGTATGACGCAAACATTCATGAAATAATATGTACAAGTCTGCATGAAGCTCCACTGTATAGCGAGCGTACTTACTTGTAACTGAACACACGTCGGGCAGTGCCCTCCTGGGGAATGTTCTCCTTCTCCGCCACCTCCATGTCTCCTGCCTCACTCTGCCTATCAGCAGCCATGTCATCCCCGGCCTCACTCTGCCTATCAGCTACCATGTCACCCCCGGCCTCACTCGGACATGCAGCTACCATGTCACCCCCCGCCTCACTCTGCCTCACAGCTGCCTTTCTGGAATCAAACACAAACACTTTACCTACACCTGAGAGGACAACATGAGGTCAACATATTATTTCACCCACTTGCATGTTAATTGTTTGCATTCAACAGGCATAAAATAACAATGTCATTGCAGCTGACATCCACATTTAGCGAATTTGGTACAGACAGCTGTTTCTCTGATGTAATGTTATACAAGGCAGGGGTGGTCAGATAGCCTAGTTATTAAAGCGTTGGCTCGTCAAGCCGAAGACCCGGGTTCGATTCCCCACATGAGTACAATGTGTGAAGCCCATTTCTGGTGTACCCTGCAGTGTACCATACTCACTCACTCGATTTTTATGGTTTGTTTGTTTGTTTGTTTGTTGTTTAATGGCGCACTCAGCAATATTCCAGCTATATGACGGCGGTCTGTAAACAATCAAGTCTGGACCAGACAATCCAGTGATTGACATCATGAGCATCGATCCATGCAATTGGGATACAATGACATGCATCAGCCAAATCAGTCAGCCTGACCACCCGATCCCGTCAGTCGCCTCTCACAACAAGCATAGTCAGCGTGGGTTGATGAAGGCCTATTCTACCCGGGGTCTTCATGGGTCCTGATTTTGTCAGATGTCCCTGCTCACCCTGGTTTGGCTCTATCAAATCTGTAGTTGGCAGGGTACTTGTGCTTCTTGACCATGTGGTTCTTCCGGCTCTTCGGGGCACTGAATGTCTGCCCACATCCTTGAACCAGACACACAAACTGAAACAGTCGAACATCAGCATCATAGACACTTCTGCAGGCCAGAGAAAGATTCATCCATGTTGAAACACACAAGCAGATACAGCTTTTTGGAAAAGGTGAGGAAAGATGGGGGTTTAACACATTCATGATTATTATACTCCTATTGCAACGCGTATGCATGTGTGTACATGGTGTACGGCGTCTGTACTACTCAGGACTGATGACAACTTTATTGTGCTATCACATCAATAATAAACATAAACAGGAGTAATAATGTTATTTGTCACATAAACATGATGAACTCATTCCTCCCATCCCTAACAAACAAACACAAATGTCAACAAAGACAGCCACTTTACAGCCTGGCAATTTCAAAGGAGAAGAGTTCATAGAACCAAATATGCATTTTGAGTTAGAGAGAGAGAGAGAGTTTTAGAGAGAGAGAGAGAGAGAGTTTTAGGGAGAGAGAGAGAGTTTGTTGTTTAACTCCGCAATATTCCAGCTATGTGAAATAATAATCAAAATAATCGAGTCTGGACCACACATTCCAGTGATTGACATCATGAGCATCGATCTACGCAATTGGGATGTGATGACATACATCAACCAAGTCAGCGAGCCTGACCACCTGATCTCATTAGTCGCCTCTTACAACAAGCATAGTCGCCTGTAATGGCAAACATGCAGAATAAGGGAGATAACTCTAATGCCTGACCTTGTCCCCAGATTGGAGTGAAAAGAGAGGATCATGGGATTCTCTCAGGTGTATCTCCAGCAAGTGATTGGAAGGATAGGAGCGTCGACACTCGCTGCACGTGTGACGGTGGACGCTGTTGTAGTGACTCTCATACCTGGAACAGAGGAAGCCGGAGACCTGTGAGATTATGTCTCATGTGGTCATTTATACCCCCTTCAATGAAGAGTCCTTGACCATAACCTTTTTAACAAGAGTGCTCTGAGAGCACAACACACCCCGCATGAATTTTTTTAACGATTTTATATTTTCTTTGTATTTTATGAAATAACAACAGTAGATGGCACTGCATTTGAAACAAATTGTGCAGAACATTTTGTTGGGAGTAATCCAGTCTGAATGCTAATGCCATAAGGATGTAGCTCACCCACAAAAGCCTTAAACAAGGAAACTAACTATAGTTATAGTTATAGTTAGATATTGTGATATTCTCTGGAAACTGGAGAAGTAGATGATTTCATGAAACTCCGTAAAACAGGGGCAGTAACTCTGTTAGAATTTGTCGAAATGAAACGGGACTGCGATATGCGTATCATCAACATGTCAACATCTTGTGTGTAGAGTGTCAGGGATTTTCTCTAAAAGCTGGAGGAGGAGTTGATTTCACAAGCTTAGTACCTCTCTCACAATTAGGCAAATGAAGCTCCGTAAAACAGGGGCAGTAACTCTGTCAAAATTAGTCGAAATGAAACGGGACTGTGATATGCGTATCATCAACATGTCGACATCTTGTGTGTAGAGTGTCAGGGATATTCTCTGGAAACTGTAGGAGGAGTTGATTTCACAAGCTTAGTACCCTCTGTGGGACGGACGGACGGACTGCGCCACGACATAATCCCCCTCCGGCCATTCTGGCCCGGCGGGGGATAAAACAAATAAATAACAGGATGCAGGAAGCAGAATTTTGAAAAAGGTGGGGTAATACCCAAGTCACAAAGCTGAGGGCAGAGACACCATGTATGTCTGACACAAAAGGAGGTGCATTCATCTCCCACTGTATACTCCAGTGAATAAAACTATTTTTGATTTCTGCCTATTAAGGTCTAAACAAGGCCAAATAATAATATAAGTTCAATGGATAATGATTAATCTCCATGTTTGCAGGTACAACAAGTACCACTTGTTTCACTGTTGGTTGACAGCAATTTCCTTTCAAGGAGAAGTTTGAAGTCACTAGAGTTTCATTGGATGATGACATGCTTGGGGCAGAAATACCATGCAGGACTTGGCCGTTCATGATAAGTGTCAGAATGTCTGACAAATAGATTTCTGTGCTTTAGTTGTCTGACACGGCAAATATTCGCCTTGAAAGAACATACATCATATGACACAGAGGAAGATGACAAACAAGATGACAACCCTTTGTCCTAACTCTTCTGATGAAATGCAAAAAACTAGACACATATGACTTTGAATGAAAGAATAAATATCTACTTGAACAAGAAGGCTTGATCAATGTACCACGAATACTGGTCCACATTCATCTAAGAAAGCTGCGATGTATGGTGCATTGATGTAAAGTGTTCATGTACCATGAAGCCGAAGTACTAAATGTTTACTACCAGGGCTGAGCAAGTCCAAATTTACCACCCGGGTACCGACCCCGCTATTACCCAGCCCTACCCGGGTACCCACTGTAGGTCTCAAGAGATAGGTACAAAATGTCCGATTGGGTATTTCTTTACCATAGCCCTGTCAAAACGTATTTAGATACATGTATAAAACAATCTGGTCATCCATACACTGAAATGGTGCATAGTCCAAAAGAAATCCGAACATTAGTGACTTGAAGTGTAACCATAGAGTTCTAGATATTTTTTTGTCATTAAACAATATAATCACGTGACTAACCACAGGTCCGGGTAGTCCTGTGGGTACCCGGGTCCTACTCAGTACCCACCCGACCCGGGTACCCGAGTTACCCGTCCCAGCCCAATGTACTACCTCTCCACCACTTGTTCATCTCACGGTAGCAGGGATTTATCTCGACCTGCCCAGAGGCCGATATTCAGCCCCAAGTCTGCAGCAACATAAATTCCCAAATAGGAATTACAGGGTTCCTATTTCATGTAAACATAGTTATATCTGATGTGATGGCTTGTCAACATGACTTGTATACCACTGATAACAGGACCAACAAGGAGGAGGCTTCATTTCACATGATTGTATGGAAAGCAATGTTACAATGTTATTTAAAATACCTCTGGTTGTAAGAAAATATGAACTAAAAAAATCCTAATTTTGAACAAATTAAAACAATATGGAAAAATAATTATGAGAATAATTTCTAAAACAAACCTAATTGTAAATTATTACACTAAAATCTTTTATGTTTGTCCTGAACAGTGATTGAAGGGAGACAAGGTCTGTCCCAGTTTCCTTGTAGGACAGCGTGAATAATTGAAGTGTCAGACTACACATCTTCCCGAGGCAAGGGAGTTAACTGACTAAAAAGTCCAGTTTCCACCCTTGCCGAAATAGGCTGGAATTCCTGGGCTCGATCATAGCGCCACCAGTGTTTATTACAAGTTATGTCCCTTCTAAGCCTCTCCTATGGACGAATCAGATTCCACTTCTTGTATCACTTACATTTGTTTCAAACGAAATGGTGGCGCCCAGTCAAGACGATCTGATCGATAATCAAGTTCTGTATTGGGATCAATGGGGTCTTACATTGCGAAGTGCATCAAATCACATGAGCATCTTGATCAAAAACATGAAAAGACTTGGAAAATTTCTGTTGACAATGAGATCAAAATCTGCACTAGCTGGATTTCAATTTCGTTGCACGATTTTGATAGGACTATGCATAGACACCTAGTCCAACCAAAATGTAACTCCATAATACCAGCCTAGTTCGGCAAGGGTGGAAACTGGACTTTTATGGTCAGTTAACTCTCTTGCCTCAGGAAGATGCAGACTACAGGATTAAACATACGAGTACAATATGCTTAGCATTTGGGAGGAAACTCTTAAAGGGAAGTATAGTTCATGGTTATATAACAAATTCACAATCACAACGCTGCTGGTGTAAAACTTTAACAATATCTGCATGTCTCCACAGGTCTCGGGGGTTTGAGAAAATTAAATGGGGGCATGGGCCATGGGGATGAGTAATCGTATGAAATTGTTTGAAACCAAATTCTGAAAAGAAACTCCATCTTTGTCTCAAGTGTATGATGAAATGCGTACATACAAATAAATACATAAATAATTATGAAAATATGTTTTAAACATTCCTAACAATAAATTATTATTATTAAACATATAAAAGTTAATAGGCAACAATCATAACAGGGAGCCAAGCCCGGAGTGCTTGCGCTCTTCGCCTGTAGCCAAGGAGGCAAAAGGCAGGGCATTTTGTTGTAGTGAAAAGTTGACTCATTTACATGAAGCTGTTCTGCCCGTCGAGAGGGTTGGGGACAGGCCTATAGCATATCGCTATGCGGGAAATGTTGACCCATTTCCATGAAGCTGTTCTGCCTGTCGAGAGGGTTGGGGACAGGCCTATAGCATATCGGTATTGGGGAAATGTTGACCCATTTCCATGTAACAAGGTCTGCCTGTCGAGAGGGTTGGGGATAGGCCTATAGCATATCCGGAAAAGTTGAGCCAGTTTTTGTGTAGCAAGATATTAGCACTTTTGGACAGTGTGAATCATTGACAGGTCAGGCTACAGGAGTAAACATATTGCCATTAGGGAGGTAACTCTCATAGAGAAGTATGGTTCATGGTTAAAATTAATATACGAACACACAACGTTGTGGGTTTCAATTTTAGCAATATCTGCATGTCTCCATGTGCATATCTACATCATTATAAAATAACATTACAACATTGCAGCTATTACTTTGAAAAGATTAAGTATGAACAAATATTAATAACTTTACCATTATAGATATATCAATGTCAACAGTATTATATATACCACTATGATTGTGTCAACTTAATGCCACATACAATATTAAATGTTTCCAGAAGTCATTGTTGTCAAAACATATTACTGGTACTGCAGGGGAACTGAGGAATCCTGAAACACAAGCGAGCAACACTGAGGAATGTTCTGTCAAATGTACAATGCAGCATCAAGATCATAAAGTCCCAGGGCAAACCACTCTTCCAAATATGGATATACCAATATTTGGTTGTCCTCTACAAATGTTGAAGTTAGTGAGTGAGTATGGTTTCACGCCGCTTTTAGCAATATTCCAGCAATATCACGGCGGGGGACACCAGAAATGGGCTTCACACATTGTACCCATGTCGAGAATCGAACCCGGGTCTTCGGCGTGACGAGCGAACCTTTAACCACTAGGCTACCCGACCGCCCCTCATGTGCGCTTTAGGACAGCATAGGTACTTGCATCAATACATCGGTATGCAACAAAATTTATTTGTGCCGTGCTCTTGATCAAAGAGATCTTTTAATTCATTGGTGGGCAAATTGTCACAAGATTTACTGATTTGTGATTAGAAAATGAACTGGTAACCACCCCCTCCAAAACTGGTTTATCACAGACGATCACAACCTGGACTAATGTAGCAGAATATGACACACTTCGGAGACTAGAAGTACGACTCGAGGCAGAGGACAAATGATCTAATCCTGCCACGTCTGAGTGAGAGAATGTCTCTTGGTTGTCCCTTTGATGATAGTGTTGCTGATAGGATCAATCACAAGGCAATCTTTGATTGGTCGGATGAAAGGTCGTTATGACGTGACCCGTAATGGGATGTCCTCAGATCTTTGTTTAGCAGTAGCTAAATGAGATTGAATCACAAGGTCACATAGGTGAAACAAGTGTTAACATCTCGTTCAACATTTTTGCACACACAGCATTTTACGAGATGCGGAAATGTATGTCAAGGACGCACAAATGTATAATGGATGCAGAAAAAAAAAAAAATCGTCCCAATAGGATACACAATGATTTTCATTGCACCAAATCCTTGATAAGTAATTATCAAATCTTACAGTATGGCATTTCATTACTTTACAGGACCTGCATGTTTCTTGTAAGGACCCTTAAAATTAGTAATTAGTGGTCCCCAGAGTCCCAATGAGGTGAGGTGAGGTGAGGTGAGGTGAGGTGAGGTGAGGTGAGGTGAGGTGAGGTGAAATCAGGTGGTTTATGCTGACAGCCTGAAATGTTTATGTACGGCAGATATATTTTTCTAGAATTAATTGCCCATAATTAAGGGGGCATATAACACACGAGTGCGTATTGTACGAGAATAAAAAAGTCTTGTGAACAGTGATCCATCGGAAGGGGCGCTAATTGTGATTGTTCACTAGCCAATATATTAGCAAATACCGCCATGGGGGCTTATTAGAGCGGGGCGCTTATTACGTCGAATACAGCTTTCTGCCCAATCATCCCTCAGGGTTGCCGATGTAGGAAGTGGTCAGTTCCGCTGTATTCCTCAGCCAAAAATATAAAATTCTGAGGTCAATTTTTGTAAATTCTGCAACCACATTTTGATTATTCTGCAGACAATTTTGCAAGATGTTACACAACCGCGGAATGCAATGTGGACCCATAGTTGTACACTTACCCAAGAAGGGTATCAAAGGTCTCGGGACATCCAGCAATACTGCAGGGGAACTGAGGTATCCTGAAACACAAGCGAGCAACACTGAGGAATGTTCTGTCAAATGTACAATGCAGCATCAAAATCATAAAGTCCCAGTGCAAACCACTCTTCCAAATATGGATATACCAATATTTGGGTGTCCTCTACAAATGTTAAAGTGAGTGAGTGAGTGAGTATGGTTTCACGCCGCTTTTAGCAATATTCCAGCAATAGCATGGCGGGGGACACCAGAAATGGGCTTCACACATTGTACCCATGTCCGGAATCGAACCCGGTTCTTCGGCGTGGCGAGCGATGACTTTAACCACTATGCTACCTGACTGCCCCTACAAATGCTAAAAAAAATACTGATACAAGTGTCAGCATGTGTACAATAGGGGTGTCACAACAAATCGAAATATCGATATATTGCTATTGGTAAGCAGTTAAACTCAATAAATCAATTGTTAAATCAGTTTCCGATCAATAGTATCGATTTCAGTGAGGAATATGGATAGTCTCCATTGTACATGCAATGCTGTTCAAATTTGTTTTTCTTTTCATCATGAGTGGTAGTAATTCACACATGGTAATGTGGAAGTTTCTTTTTCTTAAATTATTAGGGTAAAGAAAAAACAAATCGATCATATCTCACTTTTTATTTGTTTATATGGTTGACATTCAAAGGAAACTTTATTTCCAAGGTTTAATTCAACTCTAAAATCCATCTAAAATGATACACTGAAAACTATCAATACTTGTTGCAATAGTTGCTTGCAATATGAATAGTTATCGCAATAGTGATTTCCAGACCAATAGTCACCCCTAGTATAAATAAAATAGAAGTTACACCCAGTAAAGTCTGAATAAGAGGTGAGGTGAGGTGAAATTGGGTTTAACGTTGCGTCCAAGATTATTGCACTTATATAGCGACGTGCATGCATGTGTGTGTGTGTGGCTGCTTGTACTAGTCCGGACTGATGCCGATTTATAGTGCTAGCTCACTGAGATACCATGCCGCAGTTTAACATGAATACCCCACTCAGTCACAGTATACTGACTCTGAGCCGACCAGTCCTTGTTATAGCCCCTTAATGTCGAGCCCCTTAATGTCGAGCGCCAGACAGGGTAACAACAAGTACCATCTTTTAACGTCTTTTGGTATGACGCGGCCGGGGATCGAACCCCGGACCTTCCGCTCCCCGGGCGGACGCTCTACCACAAGACCACGGAGGCGGCGTCTGAATAAGAAAGAAATCCAGACAAGTGGATACAGAAAGGTACCAGTATGAACCTTGAGAACTTTGGGTGTGTGATTGAGTCCTACAAACGCTGGATGGACTGCTGATCACGGAGATTACCATGAGTGAGTGAGTTGGGTTTAACGCCGCTTTTAACATTATTCCAGTTATATCGCGGCGTGTCAGCTTAATGTGGGAGGAAAACCCGAAGTGATGCAGGTCTCAGACGTTTACCACTTCGGTGAAACCCACGAGCACGGGTATGGTGCTGACAAACCTAGAAACATAATCGGGGCGAACCGGGATTCGAACCCACAACCATAGGTTTCTGGCGTGCCCAAGGGACGCAACTCTGCACAGCGAATCGCGGTGCCTTGGACGACTGGGCCACCCGTGCCCCCGAGATTACCATGACTACCGCTTCAGGCGGCACAGTTGCATTTCCCACAGCAATATACACGACAATGTGGAGCTTAGTGATTTCTTTAGTATGTAGAGTGCTCTCAGTTGTAACTTTCTTTGTTCGATAATAACAAAATTCTTGGCAAGACAATGGTATTAGTTTTGGTGGAAATGCGCTCAATCTAAATGAGTGAGTGAGTGAGTATGGTTTTACGCCGCTTTTCGCAATATTCCAGCAATATCACGGCGGGGGACATCAGAAATTGGCTTCACACATTGTACCCATGTCGGGAATCGATCCCGGGTCTTCAGCGTGACGAGTGAACGCTTTAACCACTAGGCTACCCGATCACCCCCAATCTAAATGAAATTGACGTAGTATGATGCCATCCCTATTTGACATAATTTTTAGACATTGAGAAATTTCCGTAAAGTAGTTCTGGATTTCTCCATTCGATGGAAAACGTAGTCATGTGACATACTGACTGACGTTCATCGGGAAATGAACACCACAGTGAGCTTGGTCCTGTTCCTCTGGGCGAGGTCACCTGCTACTGTCAGTATTGTTTGCGGTGTTCTTTTCTAGTATCTTATGTTCCCTATTGTTATTACTGTTAGCATCTGTTGTTCCCTATTGTTATTACTGTTAGCATCTGTTGTTCACTATTGTTATAACTGTTAGCATATGTTGTTCACTATTGTTATTACTGTTAGCATCTGTTGTTCACTATTGTTATTACTGTTAGCATCTGTTGTTCACTATTGTTATTACTGTTAGCATCTGTTGTTCACTATTGTTATTACTGTTAGCATCTGTTGTTCACTATTGTTATTACTGTTAGCATCTGTTGTTCACTATTGTTATTACTGTTAGCATCTGTTGTTCACTATTGTTATTACTGTTAGCATCTGTTGTTCACTATTGTTATTACTGTTAGCATCTGTTGTTCACTATTGTTATTACTGTTAGCCTCTGTTGTTCACTATTGTTATTACTGTTAGCATCTGTTGTTCCCTATTGTTATGACTGTTAGCATCTGTTGTTCACTATTGTTATTACTGTTAGCATCTGTTGTTCCCTATTGTTATTACTGTTAGCATCTGTTGTTCCCTATTGTTATTACTGTTAGCATCTGTTGTTCACTATTGTTATTACTGTTAGCATCTGTTGTTCCCTATTGTTATTACTGTTAGCATCTGTTGTTCCCTATTGTTATAACTGTTAGCATATGTTGTTCACTATTGTTATTACTGTTAGCATCTGTTGTTCACTATTGTTATTACTGTTAGCATCTGTTGTTCACTATTGTTATTACTGTTAGCATCTGTTGTTCACTATTGTTATTACTGTTAGCATCTGTTGTTCACTATTGTTATTACTGTTAGCATATGTTGTTCACTATTGTTATTACTGTTAGCATCTGTTGTTCACTATTGTTATTACTGTTAGCATCTGTTGTTCACTATTGTTATTACTGTTAGCATCTGTTGTTCCCTATTGTTATTACTGTTAGCATCTTATGTTCCCTATTGTTATTACTGTTAGCATCTGTTGTTCCCTATTGTTATTACTGTTAGCATCTGTTGTTCACTATTGTTATTACTGTTAGCATCTGTTGTTCACTATTGTTATTACTGTTAGCATCTGTTGTTCCCTATTGTTATTACTGTTAGCATCTTATGTTCCCTATTGTTATTACTGTTAGCATCTGTTGTTCACTATTGTTATTACTGTTAGCATCTGTTGTTCACTATTGTTATTACTGTTAGCATCTGTTGTTCCCTATTGTTATTACTGTTAGCATCTGTTGTTCACTATTGTTATTACTGTTAGCATCTTATGTTCCCTATTGTTATTACTGTTAGTATCTGTTGTTCCCTATTGTTATTACTGTTAGCATCTGTTGTTCACTATTGTTATTACTGTTAGCATCTGTTGTTCCCTATTGTTATTACTGTTAGCATCTGTTGTTCACTATTGTTATTACTGTTAGCATCTGTTGTTCCCTGTTGTTATTACTGTTAGCATCTTATGTTCCCTATTGTTATTACTGTTAGCATCTGTTGTACCCTATTGTTATTACTGTTAGCATCTGTTGTTCACTATTGTTATTACTGTAAGCATCTGTTGTTCTCTATTGTTATTACTGTTAGCATCTGTTCACTATTGTTATTACTGTAAGCATCTGTTGTTCTCTATTGTTATTACTGTTAGCATCTTATGTTCCCTATTGTTATTACTGTTAGCATCTGTTGTTCACTATTGTTATTACTGTTAGCATCTGTTCTCTATTAGGCACTGTTGGAATCTGTGGTGAGCACTGTTAATCTGACATCATCAACAATTTCATTTAGTTTTCCCATGAAGCTGTTGCCAAAGGCTCACCTCCTGCAGTCAATGGTGTCTGTCTCAAGGGGCAGCTGTTTGACTGAATAACAACAGAATCGGTCTCCGTCCTCAAAGAACTGGTCTCGCACATCACGTGACCTCTTCTGGGGTCTCCACTGCCAGACTGTTGCCTGTGTCTCCATGACGCTGTAACATTCACAACACATTGCCTGTTGGAGATAGGGGTCAGTTATAGGTGGGTCTCCATGACGCTTTAAAACTCACAACACATTGCCTGTTGGAGATAGGGGTCAGTTATAGGTGGGTCTCTATGGCGCTTTAAAACACACAACACATTGCCTGTTGGCACAGCCTACTGACTAGGAACAATTGTTGCTGAGGACCAATTAATAATAACACCCTGTTATAGCACACACAGGATCAGGCCTTCTTTTTCAGTTGCTCACATTAGAAGAGAGAAGTTGATATACTTACAAGATGTGCATCATTTCACCCAGAAAATACAATGTCACCTGAGTCTATTGCTATATCCACAGTTGTGTTATTGATAAACATTGTACATTGTTTATTTTATTGGTCTGCAACTGTTGGTATACAACAAATTGATATAGACATTTCTTGCTCATTATAATCAACAAAATATTTGAAGGAGATTCCAGATAATTATAAATGCCATATGTATAACTGAAGAGGTGATATGCCACATGCTGTTTAGACGATGTAACTGATACAGAAGTCTACGGGAAAGTTCTCTATGGTCTAGTGGTAGAGTGAGTGAGTGAGTTGGGTTTAACGCCACTTTTAACAATATTCCAGTCAGCTTAATGTTGGAGGAAAGCTTGAAGTGATGAAGGTCTAAGACATTTACCACACCAGCCAAAACCACGAGCACGGGTATGGTGCTGACAAACCTAGAAACATAATCAGGGCGAATCGGGATTCGAACCCGCAATCACAGGTTTCTGGTGTACCCAAGGGACACAACTCTGCACAGCGAATCGCGGTGCCTTAGACGACTGGGCCACCCATGCCCCCACTATAGTGGTAGAGCGTCCGTCGGGAGAGCGGAAGGTCCAGGGTTTAATCCCCAGCCGCATCATACCAAAAGATGTTAAAAGATGGTGCTCGGCATTAAGGGGCAAAAACAAGGACTGGTCAGCTCGGAGTCAGTACACTGTGTCTGAGATGGGTATTCACGTAAAACTGAGGCATGGTATCTCAGTGGGCTAGCACTACGAAGTCGGCATTAGTCTGGACTAGTACAAGCAGCCACACACACACACACACACACATTGACTTGCTCGCATGTCGCTATACCATGTATACAAGTGCAATAATCTTGAAACGCGACATTAAACCCAATTTCACCTTGCCTTAACTCCTCTCTTCGCAGTAGGCTATAACAGAAATCAGCTGAAAACTTTTTCCACTGTTCCGCAGTCAGTATGGTAAACATTAATTCTTTATACACGTATTTCAGAAATAACACCCTAAAATCGTGATAATTTATCGTACATGTTCCTTTACTAGATCTCAAATCGTGACCGTGAGAGGTATCGACATTCACAAACACTAAACACCTGACAAAAATCTCGACTTTTGCAAACATTTAGGCTTGAGCTAACAAATGAGAAGCCGCCTTGGTCGAGTGAAACATACCAGAGTTACTTCCCCTTTTTCTTGTGCTTGTGGCCACCCTCGTGAATTGAATTACAAATCAGCTTCGTACTCGTGGTCAGGCCACCTTTACAGTGAACGAAATGAGTTAATCACACACGTTCTCCTTCGTCTGGTAGAGATTTCTGAACTAGGCCTACACGTGTTGGGGAAAAAGTTTACTTCTCCGCCAGAGGGAAGGAGAGCCTGTCCATCAAATCGTCAATTTTGTCCTGTAATATTTCAACAATATCCGCCGATATAAACATGTGAGTGTCGTCTAGGTCTTGTAACACAAACTTCTTCCCCAAAGCGTTGGTGTCGTCTAAATGAAGCAAGAACTGTTTCATTGCTGGGTCACATTCGACCAACACGCCTTTCATAACATTCACCATCTTGGCGGCCGGTGTTGCCTGTAATAATAGCCCATGTAATTTGTGTCCCTAAACATGCAAAAATTCATGGACTAAATTTCAAGGACACAAGGGTAACGGTATATTGCTATAGAACAGTTGCAAAACATGTCATTAGATATAGAGATGGTCATCCGAGTGTGTTTCCGTATCATAATATTAAATATTAGGAATAGAAATTTGCCGGCGAGTTTTTTAGAAATAAAAGGACGATATTAGCCCTGGGTGGTTTATTCTCCCTGCAGTGTTATATTGCACGGTAATCAACGACCACGTCGTTTATTTCTCGTATGAGATATCAACAGCCTCTTTAAGAATGTTAGGAAAAAGTAGATTTACCCGTATTAAATCATGATGACTCCATGAAGAGAATCCGACCGCGGCAGTGTCGGGCAAGTCCATTATATAAACAGGGGTGTTGAGCTTAGTATTTCCCAGATAGTCTCACAGCTTTCACGTCGATTATCTGTACCTTTTGCCACCAATACCGATGGTCATATCTCTTCCACTTCTGGATGCGATTGTTTGAGTGTTGCGTTTATCTACGTTGCCTAGCTACATCTTCGGGGAACAACTCACTAGACACTTCCCTATTAAAAAAAAACAGGGTCGTCCAATTAACGACGTCATCAAGTTGCGAAGGCATGTTCAAATCTCCAGAAATGACGTCATGTGGTAGAAGACTGTTTTATCGTGAAATAAACCACGCTTCGCTCTTCATTGTTGTTTTTGCAATTTATCGCGTAGCTATCTTATATTTGTTATTATTAGTTACATGGTCCTGTGCTTTATCATATATGTCGTTACTAAAATCATGACTGTATGTAGGACTATGTTTACTTAATAAAGTAGTTTTAGAAGCCGTGTATAAATACAAAATTTGAGGTGAGGTGAAATGGGGTTTAACGTTGCGTGCAAGATTATTGCACTTATATTGTGACGCATCTTCCCGAGGCAAGGGGTAACTGACTATAAAAGTCCAAAGTCAGTTAACTCCCTTGCCTCGGGAAGATGACAGCGATGTGCATGCACGAGTGTGCGTGCGCGCGTGCGTGCGTGCATGTGACTGCTTGTTCTAGTCGGGAATAATGCCGATTTTATAGTGCTAGCCAGCCCACTGAGATACCATTCCGTAGTTTAACATGAATACCTAACTCAGACACCCTATCCCGACTCCGAGCCGACCAGTCCTTGTTTTAAACCTTAATGCCAATGTCAGGCAGGATAACAACAAATACAATCTTTCATGTCTTTTGGTAGGACTCGGCCGGGGATCGAACCCTGGACCTTACGCTCTTCCGGTGGACGCTCTACCAGGAAGGCGGTCCAATGTTTGAGTGAGCTGTCTCATTAATTATATAGTGCTAATGACTTGCAGACATGTTTTCTACAGAAACACGGTGACACATTGGGAAACCTCTACCTAAGCATATTGGGAACATAAGTCAAAAGTGTATTCACAAAGAAGATATGGCATTCAAGTATATAGAGAGCTTGAAAGTAGTTCCTGCAAGGCGACCTCATTTGCATATTTATGGGATCACGACGCCAAGTTCATCAGATTGGTTTAACGCATAGATAAAACAAGCCTTTATAATACTAGTGTATGATAGAAGAAGCCTTTATAATACTAGTATATGATAGAACAAGCCTTTATAATACTAGTATATGATAAAACAAGCCTTTATAATACTAGTATATGATAAAACAAGCCTTTATAATACTAGTATATGATAAAACAAGCCTTTATAATACAAGTATATGATAAAACAAGCCTTTATAATACTGTATATGATAAAACAAGCCTTTATAATACTGTATATGATAAAACAAGCTTTTATAATACTAGTATATGATAAAACAAGCCTTAATAATACTAGTATATGATAAAACAACTCTTATAATACTAGTATATGATAAAACAAGCCTTTATAATACTGTATATGATAAAACAAGCCTTTATAATACTAGTTTATGATAAAACTGGTTTCTGTTTCCATAATTCAAAATGAAAAAGCTGACCCGTAACATTGGGCAAATCTAACTGGCCAATTGTATTAAAATTCAGGAAATCACGTCACTATCTGCCGGTTGAGACCGGAAGAAGGAAAAATATCCCCCTAAATGGTCGGAAATGTAACCTAAGCAATCTCGATTACATCGGAGATGAATTTCACTACCTATTTGTATGTCCCGAAATTGAAAAAGATAGTAAATTTTTTGTTCATAAATATTTTTTATGTCAAACCAAATGTATACAAAATAAATTATCTCTTCATGCAGTAGCTCAAAATTAGGAAAATTAATAAAAATTGTCTATATTTTGCAATAAGAGTATGGCTACATTTAGGAAATGATTTGTTTGTTACTAGGAAAACACTGCATTACTTTTGTATGGAATCGTAAAAGGCGACAATGCTTGTCGTAAGAAGCGACTATGCTTGTCGTAAGAGGCGACTAAGGGGATCGGGTGGTCAGGCTCGCTGACTTGGTTAATGCATGTCATCGATCCCAATTGCGTGGATCGATGCTCATGATATCAATCGCTGGATTGTCTGGTCCAGACTCGATTATTTACAGACCACCGTCATATAGCTGGAATATTGCTGAGTTCGGCGTTAAACAACAAACAAACAAAACTTTCGATGATAATATCACACACGGAGATAAAAGTGTTATCTACGTAGATGATACAAGTATTTTAGACTGTGGCACAATACGCTTCCATACTTCTGTAGGTATTTTATGTGTATATATTTGTAACCAGATATCTGCATGTATATAAATTGTACATTTTATATTTTGAAACTGCACAGTATATTTATACATCTTATGCCAAATGATGTGACCTGGATGTAAAAAGTTCACTTCAGTTCAAGAAGAGATGAATATATTACTATTTGATAACTGCCAATAAAGGTAATAAAATCATTTTGTCAACGGAGTAACAGATTGTGTTATCTGGTGCTTCAGCCTGATTACTTACATCACCTACGGCAAGTACAATAGAAGTACTTTGTCTGGTTTCACCAGAAATCGTATGAAACAATTTTAATTTAGTACGCACGCATCAAGCAAGTATGGATATTTAGTTAATACTGAGGAACAAAAGAAATGTTATTTGTTTTTATCATATGTTTGATTTTCAATTGAAAACTTCTAAGTAAGCTATGTTATATAAAAAGGAACTGTACTGGCGCTTAGTCAGCACTCAAAGAATACTTATACATGGTAGAAATGAGATTTTTTTTAAAGTAAATATATTTAAAGTAAAAATAAAAGTTTCGCATAATACACAACTGTTGGAGGGTGTCTTAGAATCCTTTCTTTGAAAATCAAGAAATTTGTTTATTCGGCACATTTTTACAACATTTCAAACATGGAAGGGTTCATGCGGTTGCAATTCTGTTCTTACACCAGTCTTCTTTGAACAGTTTATTTGTACACAAAATTGCCCAGCCACCGAATAATCTGTCCAAACTGTTGCAGGAATGAGTGATGGTTAAATAGATATAATCAAATTTAACAACAGTTCTTTCAATTTTCAAGTGCATAAAAAACAAAATACTTCTTTTCCCCTTCAGTTAGTAATTGATTTACTTTAAAGAGAATCATCATAAACAACTATTACGATGTCAAATTTTACAGAATTTTATCACAGGTCGTATTGGCTTTTTGTAACATTTGAAATATTTGGAGAAAACTTATTACATACCTTAACATGTAACATTTCTAATGAAACCTTATTACATACCGAAACATGTAACATTTCTAATGAAACCATATTACATACCGAAACATGTAACAGTTCTAAAGAAACCATATTACATACCGAAACATGTAACAGTTCTAAAGAAACCATACTACATACCGAATCATGTAACATTTCTAATGAAACCATATTACATACCGAAACATGTACCATTTCTAATGAAATCATATTACATACCGAAACATGTAACATTTCTAATGAAATCTTATTACATACCGAAACATGTAACATTTCTAATGAAACCTTATTACATACCGAAACATGTAACAGTTCTAAAGAAACCATATTACATACCGAAACATGTAACAGTTCTAAAGAAACCATATTACATACCGAAACATGTAACAGTTCTAATGAAACCATATTACATACCGAAACATGTAACAGTTCTAAAGAAACCATACTACATACCGAATCATGTAACATTTCTAATGAAACCATATTACATACCGAAACATGTACCATTTCTAATGAAATCATATTACATACCGAAACATGTACCATTTCTAATGAAACCTTATTACATACCGAATCATGTAACATTTCTAATGAAACCTTATTACATACCGAAACATGTAACAGTTCTAAAGAAACCTTATTACATACCGAAACATGTAACAGTTCTAAAGAAACCATATTACATACCGAAACATGTAACAGTTCTAATGAAACCATATTACATACCGAAACATGTAACAGTTCTAAAGAAACCATATTACATACCGAAACATGTAACAGTTCTAATGAAACCATATTACATACCGAAACATGTAACAGTTCTAAAGAAACCTTATTTAATACCGAAACATGTAACAGTTCTAAAGAAACCTTATTTAATACCGAAACATGTAACAGTTCTAAAGAAACCTTATTTAATACCGAAACATGTGACATTTCTTGTCTTGTCTTGTCGTGTCTTGAGTGTGGTATTTTACGTGCGCTTTCCGACTTTTTGCGTATGTCGCACACAGGCCCGTCAGGGCATTTTGTGTGTT